CATCTCCGCTGGCGCCCACTCGTCAAGAGGGCAGTTCCCAAGACTAATGTCGGACTCCTACGAAGTGAGAATGAAGATGCTGCTACGAGAATATCTCGCTGTAGCGAGAGTGTCGTGACCAGAAAAGGATTTAAAGGGGGTTAGGGTTCAGAGAGAGTTATTTCTCCCTCTCCCTTCAAAATTCATTTGATCCTCTCGTTCCCAAAATCCTATTACACCGATTAATTGCCTCCAAAGTCATTTGGGAGCGAGATTGTAGCTTAGATTTGTGTGGGGAACGCTTGGAGGTGAGTTTTAAACGGTTAGGATTTTCGTTTTCCTTCCTTTTCTCTATTCTTGGTGATTTTCGAGGTTCTCATGGAATTCTTCCATGTGTTTAGGCCGAAAGTTGTGTGGGAAGCATTTTCGTAGTTGAGTTCAGACGTGGGTATTCAATCCAAGGTAAGGGGAGACTTTAACCTACTCCTTTATGTGTGATTTGCTGATATTTTGTGTGATATTGTGATATGGCTGAGCAGATGATAAGTGTATAAAATAAGTGATTTAAGATGGTAAATTAAACACTTTTGTGTTAAAAGTTGGATTATTTTGTTAAATTCCCTTCAAACTTGGAACTTTTACAAATACATATATATTTTTTGAAATGAATGCAATTTTATGGCTTTAAGCTCTTTTTGATCTATTTTGTAGCTGGAATTACAAAAGAAACATCACTTAAGGTTGAAGAAGATTAGAAAAGAGGAGTAATTGAAGCATGAAGTTGCAGAAAAGTCAGCTTCTTGAGGTTTCTCGCTATAGCGAGAAACACTCGCTGCAGCGAGAAGTTGCAGCAGGAGGAGGGTGAATTTGTTCCCCTGTCGCTACAGTGAGAAATGGTCGCTGTAGCGAGAAGGCTTTTGTCTCGCTATAACGAGAGTTAACGCTACAGCGAGAATAAAATAGAATGACCTAATTTTATCTCCATTTCTTACTACAATGAAGCCATGTCGCTGTAGCGAGAGAAGTTCAACTAGAACAGTATAAAAGGCAACTTTTATATTCAAGTGGGAGGTTCACTGTTCAAACTCCATTCTAGAGGTCCAAACGGCACAAAGCATAGAGGAAGAGTAGGAATACTCATTTTTTTATGCTTTATTCCATTTGTATCTCCATTTTTATTGTTATGGGAGTCATGAGCAGCTAAATCTTCTTATGAGATTGAATGTAAATCTTCAAACCTGATGTATTCTCAGTAATCTATATAAATATAATTGTTTTTTCTTCATTTCTAATGATTTGGTGATCTCAATCCGTTTATAATGTTTGAATCTAGTTATTTGACAGTTTCTAGTGTTCAGATCTGAGTTATATTTGGAAAAATATTGTTTAGATCTAGATCTTATTGAGATTACTCAATAATCGGTTATTCTAGAAATAGATTTCAAGTTATTGATTATGTCTAAATCCTAATTTTGATGCTGGATAGCTTATTAATTGTTTGAGGAATCAACATTTGAGAAATTATCTTAGAAATGTATTTTTAAGGAATTGAAATATATTATTTTTGTATTTTGTATTAAATTCATTGGAAATGATTGCTATATTTATCACTGGATTATTAGAATATATAGGGGAAGATAGATGAAATTTAATCCCAGCTTTTTAACTTAAATTCTACCACATTTTATCTTAGTGCTTTACATTTTAAGTGTTGTTTAATATTACATGAAAATTATTCATCAATTCTATTGTATATAAGCTCAATTAATTTGTATATTATTAATTAATACATTTGAATTGCTCTCTAAAGACGATATTCTGGTACTCTACCGGTTATTACTTGCAACAGACTCGGTACACTTGCCGTGTTTGAAGGAAAAGAACCAACAATAGAGGGTAGGAAATTGATGAGATATGTGATGTGGGCACTTGTGTCGTTTATACATGTGTGTATATCTGAATGAACATTGTGAAAATGTTGGTCCGAGGGCCGTGTAATATGAATGATAATAGGCTAGGGGCTGTATGTGCTGTGAAAATGAAATGTGAGCCTAGTGTTGTATAGTTGAACAAATATGGGCCTAGTGTTGTGTACTGTTAAATGTGGGCTATGTGCCATATATTGAAATGTGTGTGACTAGGGTGTAGTAGCACCGCTGTAATGTGCTATAAATGGTTCAGCGATACACTGAGGATGTAGGAGATGAGGACAGTAGAAATACTTTGGGAACACCGACTACGAAACAGGTGTACCACTGGCCACACACTTTCTTTCTGACTAAACCTCTGACCGCTATCTTTGTTGAACGACCCGTGACTGCCCACGTGGTATCCGTGAGGCGGGAGTAACCGGCAACCATTCATGGTGTAAATTTGTGATCACAGTACTATAGTGAATATGACTGGTATGCGTATGCATGAATTTGTATTTTGTACTTGTGAATGTGAAATGTTGCTTGTGATTGTGTTTGTTTAATGTATTAAAATGTTTTGGAGGTGAGACTCTACGTTTATTGTGTATTTTTTGTAGTGTAGAGTACTCACTCTTACATTCATTTTTCAGCTAACCAAGACAATTAGTACCAGACTCAGTGAAGGGACAGATGGACAGGACTTAGAATTTATTTTGAAAATGTTATAATTGAACTAGTCTTGTAACAGTTATTTAATATTAAGTTGTAACCCTTCACTTATTTCGAAATCTTTTATAAAAATTTGGTTATCCGATTTGCAAAATCATTATTTAATTGAAATTAAATTTAAGGTGCTACATTTTCAATAAAATAATGGCCAATATTTATTTATCTATCTCACTTAAAATATGAAATAAAATAATTTATTTCTGTAATCATATTTCAATTAAACAAAATATATGAATAAATATCAGCTACTATATTCGTAAGGATGACGGTGGAATCTTATTATTATTAGAATTTAATACGAATTAATGTATTAACAATAGTAATTACCCAAATTAATTTATTAAAAGACAAAGCGTTATGAATCATTTAATACACTTGAAGTAAGCATTCGAGAGTTCTGAATAGCTTTCCTTTCGAGATCTGACCCATAGATATCTCTTAGGTGTTGATTAATCTAAAGATTTTTTTAGTTGACTGAAAAACAATATCCAAACCATTTTCAAATAATATTTAATATTTAATTTAATTTACATATATTAACAATATAAAAAATTACATTATTATTCAATCATGAATTATCATATAAGTAAAAATTGTTAATTTTAATAATAATTAATATAACAATTTATCTACGATATATTTTAATGAGTTGACAATATAAAATTTATTATTTTCTTAGACACACATTAAAAAAACATTAATCTAATTTGATGGGTTTATTAACACTAATAATTAAATTATATCTAAGGATGATAAATATACTGCACAATCTACAGTGAGAGATGAATGGAGGGTGGGTATGGATAATTCAAATTCTTGTTTAAAATGATAAAATAGTTTTTCTTATTTCATCATAATTTTGTGTAAACAAACACAAAATGACATACATGATCTTAATATAATATGATGTTAATATTTTTATAATTTTAAATGGATTAACAGGTTTTAGTTGCTGAACTAAACAATTGTATAAAGCATCATGGCAACATCAATAAGGCCAAAGACTCAAATCCTACTTTCATTACACAATACTTACGAAAGAAATTTGGCAAGTAGAAGATTCAATGGATCTTACTTTAATCATATTCAAATATACATAATTCACTCCTTGTGGAATACGTCTCCTTCTGCTTATTTTATAATATATATATGCACTGAGAATCTTTGGGCAGCGTGAGTCAATGGAAACTATTATTATAAATAGGGTTTTAATCACGTTCATAATTATGCATATCAATTGGTCTATTTAAAACTAGTATGAGAGTAGAGAGTTGTCTTTTTAGTTGCTACACAAAATTTACATAAGATCTACACTTAACTAACAAGTCAATAACTGACCCCACCAAAATTCAGTCATAGTGAGGAAAAGTAATATAAGTATCAAGGTTAGTGAAATTATGTTAATAAAATGTAAAAGATACAAAAATTATCAGTAAGATATAAATACATTTGTGTAAAAGAAAAGGGTTAGTGAAGGAGTACAAACTTAAAGCAAGAGTTAAGAAATTGAGATAATTGTATAATTTAATTGAAAACCAAATAATGAATATTGTAAGGTTTTGTCTGAGAGTTTAGAGAGAAAAGAAAAGAAAGGCAATTCAAAACATACATAAAGAGAGTTTTGAAAGGCATTAAAAAAACTTTAAACCCCTTTCTCTTGTTTCTGAAAAATCTCAAATAAGAAAATATCTCTTAAAAACCTTTCCCTTTCCCTTTCATTTTTTCCTTTCCTCCTTAATATAACATACAAACAAAGCCTAACAAAATATTACATTCATTCAAACTTAGGACACTTTACCTTTTTCGTTTTAAAATAATTGTTGCTTCATTCTTTTTTTTTTATTCAGTGTTGTGAGTTTGGTGTTGGTGAGCTTATTACAAATGTGCAACAACACTAGTCACGACTCACAGATACGTGTTTTTTTTTTTTCTAGATTAAAATTATTCCTCACAACAAATAATCTTGTTTAAGTCAAGAAAATCTGCATTACAATAAAACTAACCCTTCTAGCAAATTTTTTATACACAAGACTCAAAGTCAAGATGTTGAAAAGAAATGTGTTTATAGGTGAAAAGTGCTGAAGGAAATCTTAGAATTATGTTAAATTGTTAAAAGTTATGTTTCAATTGAGTTATCAGGATTATGCCCACTCATGAGTGGTATAGAATAAGGCCTATTACACAGGGAATGAGACTTACCTCTTTAAGTGTAACTAAAGAATTTTAACTAATAGTAAATGGTAAAATAAAAATTGTATTTGAAAACACTTAAGAATAACTTATGAAAATGTGTTATGACTCTCATAATTTTTTTTAAAATTTATTTCAATGAGTATTTTGATATACTTTATAAAAATTTATTTCCAGCTGATTCTGATTAATTTATAGTATAATTCATCATTTAAAAAATTATGAAATAAACACTTAATTAAGCTATGTATATAACCCTACCCTAAATAGTGCATTGCTAGCAGTTTTTTTATGCATATTGCAACACATGCCACCTCTTCATCAGCTTGAGGATAAAACATGGATGTAAAAGAACTTATTATTACAAGTAAAATGTTTCAGTTTTATCACCTCTTTAATACTAAAATGACATTCTAAAAAGTATCCAACATGCATATAATGGTGTGTAAGTTGAAGGATTAACGCTAGAAAAATTGCACGTATGCAGCATTAGTAGATAAAAGAATAAGCCTTGTTAACATGAAACTTCATTGTATTTGAATACGCAGTCATAGAGACGCCCCCCAAGAAATTGTGCAACTTCGGGATGTTTCACCTAAAAACATAATGTGAATAAAGAAATAATATTAAAAAATTAGGTTAATCAGAACTCAAATTTTCATTATTACAAGCAACATAAGTAAAATAATGTTGAAGTGAGTTACCATTCCAATCTTAAGGGAATCACATCTAAATTGGGCATAGAGATTTGTTTCTATTCCACGACCCTGTCAAAAGAACTAGATTAGTATTTAATATTGAATTTGAAAAACACAATCTTGTAATAGGGCTCATGATATAATGTAATTACAGTCTCAGAATCCAATGGGGAAAGGGAACTAAGAGCTTGTTTAGTTTAATAAAATATTTTTGTTTTTACTTTTAATAATAAAAATGTTACTTTGTTTTCCCTTTATTTCGTGTTTTCAAAGATTGTTTTCATTACTTTTTATACAAAACTATGAATATAGAAATTAAAGAGCAAACAATGTAGTAATTTTGTCACTAAAAATAACAGTAAGATACAAAAACAGAGAATATTGTCTCAAAGTAAATAGGTCCCAAGTTTCAATCTTTTGTATATATGCAAAATACCCAGAATAACCTATAGCGTGCCAAACTATTAGAAAGACAAATGTTCACCCATTGTGAGAAATGAGATACTGAAAATCTAGATGAAACATACATTACTTGTCACTAGTATATTACTCAACTTACTCATTCTCACTAGTATATTACATTACTTGATACTCCCAACAATATTCCCCTTCAAGTGTGAGACCTTCCATATCTCAAGAAGAACCCTTTATAGTCCCCCTCACATGGGAGCTTTTTTTTTCATTCACAAGTATTTGATCATGACACCACTTGCACTTGTACCGTTGTTAGCTACATCATTAGGAACTACCCCCAATTCTGTTGCACTTCAATATACATCTAAGCGAATCACCTGATCACACCATTGGCTCTAATACCACTTGTGGGTTGTGATTGAGTCTAAAACATTGGAGAGATCTCCATCACTAAACCAAGTGAAAACCATATAAGTAGACTGAACACCATATCCAAGATCTAACCCAAAACCTTAAAGATATTAGGTGTAGGTCATTGTCACTCATATGTTGTTCAACTTGCTCATTCTTATTCATTGTGGAACTTCCTACTCCCACTCAACACAACTAACAGTCTGAAAACTAAACATTCTATGAAAATCTAGGCCCAATAATGAACTGTATTGTATTTACATAGTTCTTTCTATTATCTATTATCATGATATATGTACTGAGAATATAAATATTTGTACGGTTTTCTTTATTTCACTTTGAAGGGTATCTTACTAAATTTGTAATTACAAGCAATTAATTCCATTTGTGCATCATTTCTATGTTATCTTAGGCTCAAAAGATGCCATTCCCTCCCCCCCCATGTTTTTCCATACTCTAGTGCAAGGTTCTATGTCCTTCAGGAATGAAGCCTGCTTCTTTGTAATGTGCAGTCCAAAACCATTCCAGGGACTGGGATGTCTGATTGGATGTCTCTATTGAGGAAAACAATTAATCTGGTTTTCCATATAACTTCTAAGTTTTTACATTTTGTTTGTAAGATATGTTTTTAGACGATTCACCCTAACTTAATCCAAACTCATTCTTTCTAGAATTCTCCCTCAACTTTCATAAATTTAAGTCAATGTCCAAAGGTGTTGCTCAAAGTCCAAGAACTATCTTGCTCTAACTTTTCACATCCAACTTTTTGATCCACAATAAGCACTAACCCGTGACATTCTATTTCTTCTAAACCAGTTTCCTTTGTTATCCTACTTCACTCCAAATCAAAGCCGAACAATGCATCTATGAATTCAATCGTCAAAGCAGTTCAAATTTCTAACAATATCCAATGAAGAACTTACCATCCCTTCTAAGATGACAAGATCTGCATCGCTGGCAAGGTAAGCAAGCTCCTGTGACACTCTTGTAAGATCAATGACCTGCAATCCATTGAATAAAGCAAGACAGATGTAATTATCATACAAGTCAATGATCTGATATCATTGGTTCAAATAAATTAATTTGCCTAATTAACAAAAAGCATTGCTCATTTTCTTACTGGTAAATCATTGCCAGAGTTGGCAATTAAAAGATTTGAAGCCCCAATACCCACAAGCTGTCCTTCTTCATCCTTTAACTGGATAAGTGGAAGTCAACATGATAGAATTAGCCAAGAATAAGGCAATACCAACAACTGCATAAAATTTTTTTTCCATTACCTTTGATATGATTTCAACTAATTCAGAATGAGTCACATCATTGATGGAAGGCAAGTCGTTAGCTGCCAATACAACCTGCATTCAAACAAAATCACAAAATATGTTGAAGATGGCAGATGTAAGAACAGCATATCAAAAGCAGTTTCAGTTTCAGACATATATTTAAAATGGAAAAAGACTAATAAACATCTTTCAAACACCAACATTAAAGTTCAGATGATTTATTATGAATTAAAATGTCAAAAATAAATGCTTCCATGGTTTTTGTAGAAGAAAAGAGGCATAATATTTGAGGCAACGAGCTACCTATGCTACACTTTGGTACATTTGGTTGGACAATAACTCTTGTATTTTTAAAAGAGATTTCAATGGTCTAAAACTTTAGTAAAAATTTAGGCGTTTTGGCTTCTATTTGGTGTAAAGCACGAGGCGTTGTAAATGGGGTACTCTAACAGACATGTTAGTTAATGGACAGCTTTGCTCATTGATTTTATCTTCTTCTTTTTTTTTATGTTTTGTTCTTATCGGTTCTTTAGTCTCCCATCTCTTTTCAATACTTCTATCTTCATTTTAACAATTTTTTTCTTTTATAAATAAATAAAATGTCAGCAAACCTGACTCCCACGCCGAAGTAGTTCTCTTGCAAATGGTAAAATACCCAAAATGATGTCTGCACCAGAGTTATCTACAAATATGATAACCTGCCACAATAAAAGGAACATATTACAACAATATGATAAGTATCTATCACAATACCACTGTAAAAAATATGCAAGACAAAAAATATCAATAATTAATGAAAAATTTGTATTTATTCATGTACATATGAAACTTACCTTCTTCCATGCCTTCTTGCTCCATTTCATTTTGAAAGTGTCAAGATCATCAATAACCCAAGGTCGAGGAACAAGATTTTGACAACTGGCCAAAAAGGACATTCCATCCTTAGAGAAAACCTCTGCAAGCTTCAAGAAAATGCAGAAAGAATAAGGTAATGCATGATTGTGATAAATAGCAGAATAGTTTTTTTCTAGTAGAAAAATAAATTCAGATCTAAGTTTTAAGAATATCTAGTTACGCATGCAAAATTTCAGCATATGGTTCCATACATATATCAGAAAATGGGATAACACCAGTGACAAATAGACAATACTGTAATAGTACTACTAACAACCAACTAAAGGAAATTAAGGAACATTGTATTTTAAGGTTAATTAGCCACACCGTGTATCCTTATTCCACACAAAAGAGGAACTAAACCAAATAATAGGAAAGGGGAAGGAATGGATAAGGGGGTGGTTCTGTAGCAAGGAACATAAAAGAATATTCATAGATAATACAGATCACAGCTTAACAAAGTAAAATTGGTATTTGAAAGACAAAGTAGGCTTAATCTGGTTTGTAAAAGAGTCTTAATTATAGTATACAAATTTTTCAAAAGAAAGCATAAAGTATCATCCTACCTGTGCAGAACCAAGATCAAAAATATTTCCAGCAAAAATTCCTCTAACTAGATTCTCAAGCCGCTTGCCTTCATCTTCAATGGCATCATTAAGACGAACAACATTCTCAAATAGGGAGATGGCTTTTGCATTTTCTTCATCCTATTGCATTCAATCAGAAAATATTAACATATCTTCGGTGGAAAAAACTTGCATGATGCATTAGTAATTCTACAACATCACTCCATCTCTCCTTTATTAAAATTGATAACAACATAAGTTAAAACCCTGTTAAAACTTTGGCTAACAAAAATAGAGTTTTTCACCCACGATTAGACTTTGCTCTATAATTCATGCAAGATGTTACATTTCTTCAACTACTACAATCAGATAGATACACACTTTTCTTCAACCTTCTATTATCCATAGCTGCATAACAGTAACAAACAAGATCATAAATAGCAGTCAAATTTACCTTGACGTTTTTGAAGATATCTGTGAATCCCAATTCTCTAAGCACTTGCTCACGAAGTCTGCAGAGAAGCTGGAAAATCCCCCCAACCACCCACCAACAAGGAAAAAAAAGAAAAGAAAATTGAAAAACAATGAAGGAAATTAGACACATCGCCAACTGCTGTTTTTTTGTTATAATTCCTTTTTTCCTTTTTGTTATAGTATAGAACATACAATGCAATCAGGAGGCCCACCATGACTTTCAGGATCTTTCTTCAAATCTTCAAGTATGTCAGCATACCTTTTGCAATGAATGCAAAAACAAAATAAGCAATTAGTAAATTCCATACTACAAGCTATTGCCTATTAGGTAGAAAAATAGCAGAAAGAGATCACCTTTGAGCAAATTTTTCAGCTTTATTTGCAGCATCAGGAACAGAGGTATCACTCTCTGCGCGCTTCCTGTCAAATCAAAGCTAAAAAATTATGTAAACGAAAAACACACAAATAATGAAATCCTTCCAATAATATAAAAACCACATATTTCAAAAACCAGTAAATGTTAGTTTAATATTGTCATCAATCAGTTGCTTCTACAATTCTATTTCCTTAATAAGAGAAAAAAAAAACAACAACTCTTAACGCTAGTAAATTGAGCAAAAACGTACTCTTAAAACAAGATTAAGAAACTCAAAGGATTGGTCACTTGGTGCTTTTTATTCAATACAGATGGAAGAAAAATACATGCATAAACATGGAATTAACTATTGAAACAATTAAAATAAAACACTTATGTTGAATTACATGGTCATTTTGGCCCATTGTCAATATTGATGATACTCAAAAAATATTTACCAAACACTCAGCTGCTCATAAAGCAGGTTTTCTATTACTTATCTCACAACAACTCCAAAAATCATCCTCTAGACAAAGGTTTTGGTAGCAACCTATACAAAGCAACAAGAATAACCAACTCACCCTAGTACAGAAGAAATGGGAAGAAACAACAAAGTTCTCAAAAGGCCAGAATAAGCAGCCATGATAATTGGAAGCCCAATTGTATCATTTGGCATTAACTTCCATGGACAATTAATCTTAAAATATGTCAAGTTGCTATTTTATATCGATAATTAGCTAACAAATGGTCATGATGACGCCAACTTAATATGTTATTTATCCCTGACCACCATAAATACACCATCATAAACAAAGGCATTGATTAAAATTGAAGATCATAATTTGAGGATAAAAGAGTCCAAATACATGAGCAGAAAGCTTGACAAAATTTTGAACTCATAAGGAGAAGAACGAAATAAGTCAATATATACATATAAAATATTAACAATTCCAATTATCATAAAAATTAGATGATCAAATATCACGAAATAAGCATCCTATTTAAAAACACACAACGCAAGAAATATTAAAACGACCAATATTACCCATAAAACTATGAAAAACTTCAAAAACAAAAAGCACCAAATTTCATAGAAAAATAAGAGAAAAACAAGGCATTGCTGATCAAAACAAACAAAAGGGTATCCTATGAATGATGAAAAACAGTGAATTATGCCAAAAATATCATTTTTTTTTTAACTGAGAAAAAGAGAGAGAGAAAGGGGAACGAACTTGAAGGAGGGAATTGAGTTGAGGAAGAGATCAATCCAAGAGATTTCGGTGGGAGTGGGTTTGCGGGGATTATCGGAAGGGAACCTATAAGGTATGGTGCAAGCTCTGTAGTGGGAATCGATGGGTGTGAGTAAGAGTGGAAATTCCACAAGCTCTGATGCGCTTTCCATCTTCACACCAAAAATGCGTTGAAATTGCAAGTGAATGGAATGGAATGGAGCAGAGATCAAAATTATCTTTTGAGTTCAGTTCTAAGAAAGAAGGGAAGAAAAACAGAGGAATCTCAGAGAGAGAGAGAGAGAGAGGCGTGGCGTAGTGGCACTTCTCTTCTCACTTTTTACACTTCTCACGCATCCCTCTCAAAACACTTAGCTTCGTTTGCCTTCTCTAGTCAAACTTCTCTTCAGTTTATTATAGGTAATGTTACCTTCGGCTTTGTTTGGATATTTATAAATCACTTTTAGAATTATTTTTTTTTTAAATTAAGTTATTAAAAAATAATGACCTCCTATTAGAAGGCATGGCAACTTATGTTTTTTGTTCGATTTGAGGAGGTTTTAAGGTAAAAGGAAAAACTTATTATAAGTAAAATTTATAATTCAGTTTCAATTAATTTTAAAATAATCTAAAAATTAAATTAATATAAACTGATATTTTACACTTTGAATTAGATAAAAATTATTTTTTAAAACATATAATTTTAACTTTTAGATTAATAAATAAATAAAATTTTATTAAAAAAATTATTTAAAAAATAGCTCTATTTAATAAGGTGGCTGAAATAGGTAATATTGCCATTTTTGTTTACCTTAACTCGTTTTTATTTTTAAAACACTATATTTCAATTACTAGTTAGAAGTATTTTCATCCCTTTATTATTCAGTTTTTAGAACTTTACTATCTTTTATTTTTCATTCAACTTTTTTTTATCATTAAATCTTATTAGAATATAACTAAATGATTAATTATTGTTTTTATAATACAAATCATCAAAATAATTACATAAATTAATTCATATTATCTCATGTTTATTTAGTCAAAATATTTTTTAAATGAGTAAAATTAAATACTATAATTATTTTAAATTATATAATTACTAAATTTTAATGACTAAATTAAAAATTAATAATATATTTATCCTTCATTTTATATTTATCAATTAATTCAATTAAATTTTTGTAATAATTATCATTTTATCAAATAATTTTATTCAATCTGGTCAAACAATAGAATCTCAATAACATTTTTATAATAATTAATTTTTTATTTAATAAGAAAAAAATTTATTAAATAAAAAATTAAATAGATCATAATATATTTAATAAAGTATACTTTATAATGATTTATATATAAAAAAAAATGTACTAATTGTTAATGTATTTACCACCGAGTTGATTTAGTAATAAAAATGAAAATCGAGAACCAAACCCCAAAAAAAAGCCCTTTTTATCTATAATTTTTTCAATTAATAGTTTATTTAATTTTTAACTTTTTTAAAATCAGTTTCGTGATTTAGAATAGTTTAAATCAATTTTGTATACTAAAAATTTACACTTTCCGAGAGGAAAGGAATTAACATTTTGAAAATAATTTTAATTATGCAAAAATAGTAAAATTTTATTATATATATATATATATATAAAAAAAATCCATTTCATCTTTCATACTCATTTTGTTTTTCTTTTTCACAGTGAAAGGATTAATTTCAATACCGATTATAATTACTTTAAATTCTCATAATTTTGCATTTGTAGAAATTTACTACCTAACTCCAAATAGAATAAATTTTCTGTACCGCAAATAAATAAATAAACAAGTTTCTCCGTACATAATCGACCACATACTTCCTGTGTTTCCATAATTGGAGATAAGCACGAAAATATAGAATCCAGGATTTGCACTGGTATTAGAAAATTATCCAACAAGCCAACCATAGACACCAAATATATAGTTTACTGGCCTACTCTCATTTCAAAATGCGACGCTCAACAAAAACTATTTTCGCTTATAGAAGAAAAGCTTAATTTGCACAAAAATACATGTCCCAATGCTGTCAACATCAGCAGAACCTTATTTTAACGCTGCTTAGTGAACTTCTGCTACACATTAGTAAGGTTCCACAGGGGCTCTGAATTTGGAACCAGCATAGACAGCAGCAGAACCAAGTTCCTCCTCAATCCTAAGAAGCTGCAACACAACACAAATAAGTGTTAAGTGACAACGGTCCAACTTATATACAGGTAAGTTGCGTACATCCCAAATTTATGTTACATTATTTTTATTATTAGGCCTTCGGCTTGCAATAAGTAGGAGAACAAACTGAATAAATAAAACAGTGGAGGTTCAACAGCAAATAAATTAAAAGCCCACACCAATGGTATTGAAGTGACCATATTCAGCTCATTTAAGCATGTAACGGTTTTACCTGGTTGTACTTAGCAAGCCTTTCAGATCTGCAGGGAGCTCCAGTCTTGATCTGCCCCTGTTTAAGAAATAACATGACCAAATTATATCAGCTTCAACTGTAGGTAAAAAATTGCTATTTTGAAATCTAGACACTACGGTACAGTGAAAAAGAACATGATATGATTTGGGAAAAAGCATCTGACAACTTACAGTTGCTAAACCAACTGAGAGGTCAGCGATGAAGGTATCTTCAGTTTCACCGCTACAATAAACAACATGAAACACATTAGTGTGCACACACAGCACATACATAGAATAATACAATCTCAAAGAACAGAGCAAATGGATACAAGAGGGAAATCAATGAACGTTCAATACCTCCGGTGGCTAGCCATAACCCCCCAGCCAGCTTTCTTAGACATTCTCACAGCTTCAATACTTTCAGTTACGCTACCAATTTGATTCACCTAACATAAATAGTTAAAAAAATTGAAAATTTAATCCTTTGAGTTGATAAGATAATTTTCAGTTTAGAATGGATAGTTACTTAACGGGGAACTTTTGATCCTCAGCATATAAAAAAAGGCAAAAGTTAACTTACCTTCAACAAAAGGGCATTGCAAGCCTTCTCCTTAATTGCTTTCTCCACACGCTAGAGTCAATGATGGACAGATATTTGTCAAAAGGATACATGTTTGCTAAACAGAACTCCCAAATTAACAGTTAAGAAGCATACCTTTGGGTTTGTGACAAGGAGATCATCACCAACAATCTGCACTTGCTGGCCAACTTCAGCTGTTAATTTTGCATAGTGCTGCCAGTCATCCTGATCAAATGGATCCTCAATGGATACAATTGGATAATCTGTCACAAATGATTTGTACACATTCTTTAAGCTGTCTCCTGAGATTTTCTGTGACCCGTCATTATTCTGTAACAAGGTAATCAGTCAGTTGGGAAATTAAATGTATCTCAACAGAGGAAAATGAAAATAAATAAATAAATAAATATATATATATATATATATATATATATATAGAAAAAGCTTGTAGTTTATCAACCTCTTCCTTAAAATTCAAGTCATATGTTTTGTCCTTGCTACCATAAAATTCTGAAGCAGCAACATCCATCCCAATAACTACCTGTAAGAATAGAAATTATTAAATTAATTAGCCATATATTAAGATGCTGAGTCAGATTCCACAGATGAAGATTCAACCTTTCCAGTGTAACCAGCTTTGGCAATGGCAGTCTTCAGAAGCTCAAGACCCTCCTTGTTTTCCTATAAATTAATCAGAAAACATATAAAACAGCATTTTGGGGCGATAAAATTATTTAAACAGCAGGTAGAGACGATTAATGCTTAGTATGACCTTGATATTAAGAGAACATAAATAACTCATCTAATTGCAAGGAAACAAAACATACACTACTTTTGAATAATGCTTAGATCACTAAAACCAAAAGGAGCAGGCAAAGACCTGGATATTAGGAGCAAAGCCACCTTCATCACCAACGTTGGTAGCATCTTGTCCATACTTCTTTTTAATCACAGCCTGTAAGACAAACACATTAACATCTTAATTTATGACAATGATAATAATGATTTACCATTCTTTTTCGGAAAGTTGGGTGAAAAGAACAGTAACCTTTAGATGGTGGTATACTTCTACACCCATTTTCATTGCTTCTTTGAAAGAAGATGCCCCAACAGGGAGAATCATAAATTCCTATAAAAGAGGACACAGGGTAAGTATTTCAATTAAAAAATGTCATTGTTCAATTGTTATATTAAATAGACATTACCTGCATTGCTAGCTTATTTCCTGCATGTGAGCCTCCATTGATAACATTGAATGAAGGTACAGGCAGCACCAAAGTCTTGTTGCCAGCCAGTTCGGCAATGTGCTGAAAAGTTTAAATAATATAAAAGCAGCCAATGAACAAAAGATAACCAGATAGGAACTATTACTAGCAAAACCTCATACCTTATACAGAGGAATTTTCTTCACGGCAGCACCTGCTTTACAGACAGCAAGTGACACTGCCAAAATAGCATTGGCTCCAAGCTGAAAATTTCAATACCGTGGAAACTCAAAATTAGCATAAAATGAATCATCATTACAGCAACAAAAAAAATGCAGCAACAGAACAAAATAAACCAGAAAGGAATCATATAGCAGTACCTTCTGCTTGCACCACCCCCACTCATTAACAGTTCCATCAAGCTGCTGTACCATAAAATTGTCAATTTCAGTCTGCTTGGTTGGGTCCTGTAAAGGCAGAAAACAAATAAAATAAGAAATTAATTATCCACTACTAACATGTTTCAGTAACAATGGGCAAGAACCCAGTTTTATAGTAGCATAATACCTTGCCAAGCAGAGCAGGTGCTATAATTTTATTCACATTCTCCACAGCCTAGGCCAAGGCAAAATTGGAATTTTATTATCAACTCAGATACATTTAAATAGGGAAAAAAAAAAAAACATCCCCTCCCGAACGCAAACAAAAGCCAAACGCTAAAGGAAAAATATATTTAAAAAAAGAGTTGTGAGGTGGGGTCAAAATAAAACAGCACATCCAACAAATACTAACTGAATTTTTTAAAGGAAATCCATCATTCTGCCCAAAATTAAAAAAGAACTTGTTAATACATCAAAGTGAAAGAATATAAAGTATGCAGCACCTTGAGAACACCTTTCCCGAGGTAGTCTGACCCTCCATCTCTCAATTCCAGAGCTTCATACACACCTTTATAGAAAGTAAAATGAGTCAAGGACACACCACTTTCAGAACCACCAACCCTTGTAATGACCACACGAAATTTTGCAACGAATAAACATTAATATAACGTGCAAAACTAAGCATGCCAGTTGAAGATACTCAAATACCATTTCCAATTCAACACTCCCTGCTTCTTCTTCCTTTTTTGTCTTGGCATGATTACGATGTTTCAATCAGCACAACACAAACAACAACTCATACAACAATGAATAAAAAATTGCAGTATATCCATACATTCATCAAAACATTCAATCTGCTTTAGTATATGCGTATGTGTGTTTGTGTGTGTATACAATCAAGTCGCATTTCCTTTTCTCTTCGAAATAAACAACGATCGTTTACCTGTGGAAGCTCCGCTAGGCACAGCGGCTCTGGCGAAGATTCCATCGCTAAGAGTAACATCAACCTGACAATGACAAAACGCATTCAGAAGCCAAAGCTTCGCATAAGTAAAAAGGAATCGAAACTTTCCATCTGACACCTAAAATAAAACGAACATTCGTTTTGTATTGTCTTTCATTTTCCCGCACATTTTCAGAGCGTCCAAACAGAAACCGAAGAAATGAAAGGAAAAGGCAGAGAGAGCAAAGTGAGACTCACTTCAACGGTGGGATTTCCACGGCTGTCGAAGATCTGACGAGCCTTCACGACCTTGATGGTTGCCATTGTTATGAATCAAAGTGATTTTCAGAGAGTGAAGTTTTCTCTCGTCGCAGTGATTTTCCGACCCTTCTTTTTCTCGAGAAAATAACAATGTGGTGAAAATGCGCGAGTGGGTTTATAGAGGGGGTGGTACGTGGCTATCGCGGAAGGGTGTTAAATCTGAACCGTTGGTGATGGAAAGAGATGGTGACGTGGACGGCTAAGATGAGTGTTTTTCGACATCATGAGTGGCCCCATGAAGCACGCAGAGAAGAATATGCTTTGTGCTTTTGCTCCCTTTCTTGGTGCCGCGCTTCTCGAAACAAAGTTGAATTCATGAAAAGCGTTCTCCCTTTGAAATTTATATTTTATCTTTTTTAAATAATTAATAACAGAATGTTTAAATTTATTTAATTTTTGGAGAAAAAAATGTGCTCATTTTCAAAGCTTTTGATAATAAGTTATTTTCAACACAAAATAAGATTAAAAAAACTATATTTTTATGTTAAATTAAATTAAAACTTTTGGTAATAAGTAATTACTAAAAAAATATTAAATTAAAATGCACTTATACTATTATCAACACATATGGTTATTACATTATGTAAATTGAAATGCATCTACATGCAATTTAAGTGGTTAAAAATATTAAAAATACCAACATAATTTATAAGAGTTATAAAATGTTTTTCATAAATTATTAATAAGCTCTTCCAAACACATTTACATGTCACAAGAGTAGTTATATACTTTATCCATAATCTTGCTGAATTCCACATCTAGCTTAAGGACACTATATTTTGAGCTTTAAAAAAAGTTGAGCTATTGATAACCCATGTATGTAGTGTTTTCTAGCTGATATTGGTTTTGAAAAGGGGTGTGGTGGGAGCACCTAGTTTTAGCATAGAGCTCTTTGTTTTGGAAAAAGTAGAGTTGTTTGTCAGAAAGAGGTTTGGTTCAAGGTTTTCTCACACGGACAAGGTTGATTTGTAAGACTCAAGGTTGTCGCCAATTGATTTGTTTTCTGATTCTAAAGCTTTGGGCTGTGTTTGGTTTCTTCATTTATTTTCAAAATATCTGGTGGTTACAATAATTATTATCACCACAGGCACGTTACACTTACACATCACAAGCAAAACATTAGAATTCTGAAGTTGTTTCAACGTTCTTACAGTTTTTAATTATGCATGTTTTTATACCATATTAACATGAAAATTATAACATTCATGTTATGCGTTATATGTTGAGAAAAAATTCAATTTGCATGCCAAAATAATTAAACATTAATAAGGTGGAATTAATGTACATTATTGGTTACTATCTGTTTAAACAGAATAGAACCTTTCCCTTTCCTTTTTCTCACTTTATTTTTCCGGGTACATTAGCCTTTCTAATTTTGACACATAAAGAAGATTTTAGATGTACTTAGCAAAATTAGAGCTGAAAAATAAAAATGGAAAGATTAGCTTATTGAATTATAAAGTTAACTAATAAACTAACTGATAAGTGTAAAATAACATATAAGGATGTCACTAATTTTTAAATAATTATAATTTTTATTTTACCCTTATTTAAAATGTTTTTATTAAATAAAATTAGATAATATAAATTAATGTATTATTATTTTAATGGTTTTATATTATAAAAATAAAATTTAATCATATGCTAATAAAAGTTGAAGAGATTGAAGAAAGAATTATTAAAAAATAATAAGCCCCCAATCAAATTTTTTTATTCAAAATCATTAATTTTAAATTTTTATTATAATCTTTAGAGAAAAAACATAATGAAAATGAAAAAAAATGCAATTAAATCTAAAAGGAAACATTTTTGGGTACATAAGCAAACTCTATTAGTCTAGCTAGAATAAAACTATCTAATCCACAGAATAACTTAGACAAACAATTTGTAAATAACATTTTTCTGCTCAAGACATGCATTGCATGCCTTTTAGGGGAAATGGCAATCTCCAAGATTTTTATTTTACACACATGACAGAAGGGTGGGTTTGTGCTATAATCATAGGTCTCTTGCTTAATTCACTCCCAAATTCCACTACCATTGATCTTGCTCACGAATGTTTCCTAACTCGGTTGTGAATTTATAGGAATAATAGTAACATGATTTCTTTGTATCCTCAAGTTTCAAGGCATTTTCTTTCTACATCAGTGGCTTTTTTTCTCTTTGGGAGATTCTTTACAATGGCTTTACCTTTTTATGCACCTCTTAAGCACTTAGTTTTTTTTAGCTTCAAGCCATATTTTCTTTACCATTAACTTCCTTATCATGGTGCCTTTGGTCAGCATCTTTAGCAACATTAAGAATTTGTCCATTGTGGTGTTCAGCAACTTTGTCTTTGGCCATAAATCCCCACATATATGTAATATGACTTTTGAATAAGGATAATTATGTACAGTAATTATATGTGTTTTTTATAATTATTTTATGAAAATTAAAATTTTATCTTTGATTATTGTGTTTTGTTTTTTGATGCATTTAGGATGGAGAGAATTAAAAGAGAGTGAATTGAACTGAATGTTTCCTTCTTCTCTAGATTGGATGCTGAATTCTCCTCTCAAATGGAGAAAAATCGAGTGGAAGAGTAAAACATATGTAAGAATCACTGAAATTATCAATAATAAATTAAAAAATTAAAATTATATGGAGACCATTTAATTAGTAAATAAAAATATATTATAAAAAATTAAAAAATAAGAGACTAAATGGAAAAAAAAATTAACATTTTAAAAGACTAAAAATTTAGAGAGATTATTCTTCACTGCAAGATCCAAAAAAGAACATTATATTATTTCCTTCCCTCTTTTCTGCCCTTGTCTTTGCACACAACTTTTTTGTACTTTCCTATGTTATCTTTCCATATCCCTCACTCCTTTCAATACAAACAATTTCTTAAATAATCTCTCTAGAGATATCTGCTTGCAAAAAGTGAAAGAAATAGTAAAATTAAGTCATTAACTTCAACAAACTCTACATCAATTAGATGTTTTTTTTAGCCAAAAAGTTTGTGAAGTGAGCTTTTACAAGTACCTGGCTGTACCAGCCCTTCAAATGCAGCAGCTGCTTTCAAAGATCAAACACAATGTTCTACGCGTGTCTGTCACTGTAATACTAACATGAAAGGAAATAAAAAACATATTGAACATAAATAATCATAAAGTAAAATTGTTAAAGTGTTAAAGAAGAAAAATAAAAAGAGTATAAAAAAAGAAGAAGCAAAACTAAGTTTCCACTCACTTTATTTAAATGAATGAAAAAAGTGAGTTAAATTTTTAAAAAAAAATGTGCATTTTTTATTCTGAGTTTAATGATTTTTTTATATTTTTATAATTTTTAATAAATCTTAGTTAATAATAAAAGTGAGTTGTTAAAAAGTGTGTAAGATTTAGAAACAAGAATATGAGCAACATGTAAAGAATTAAAACATAAAAAGTTCTAGAAGGAGAAATGGAAGAAAGAAGAGGATAGGTGAAGCATATTGTACTTGGAAAGTTCAAGGATGATATCACTTCAGAGTACATTGAAGAGCTCATGAAATGCTATGCCAATCTAGTCAATCTCATCCCTCCCATGAAATCATTCCAATGGTACCCAATTCACTCTATCTCTTTCTCCTTAATGTGTTCTTTTCTTTCCCTAAATTTTGCCATTTAACAGCCCACTTTGGTAAGAGCAAATGACATACACCTCTTCACAAAATACAATTAGGGGCTGCAAAAGTTGTACAAGTTTGACAAAAAAAATTGAATTTTTATTAAATCCATTAAACTGGGGTTGCCTGGGTTGGTTGATGAATGAATACTAAGTAGATGTAAGAAGAATCAGTGGTGTGTTAATTGGGTTTCTTTCCAATGTTATTTAGAGCCATCACTTTGGTCTCCGCTGGATTCTGGGTTTACAGTGTTAAGAATTGTTTATGCTTTTTCTGCATTCTAGGGTCTTTATGAGAATGGTATTTGTAATTAGTGAGAGAGGGTTTATCATTTGAATTTTTGGTGGTGATGATAGTGGCTTCCATGAACTCCAACCTGGAAAGTTTTGGTGTTAGTAGGATTTATTGAGTATAATTGATTTTTTTTTAATTGCCTGTACTCATAGACAAGGAGAGTATTCAAAAATGGTATTTTGAAAGAAAAAAAAGATGCTTCTACTTGCCTTCCTTCTTTGTCTTGGTTTGATGTCACTACTCATTTTTGTTTCTGAATGCAATTGCCTTTTGAGACCCTTTAATATTATCATTATGAGGGAAATAAACTTGTTACTCTAGAGGAACATTTTCACACATTTATGTCTCAAGACATTGTTTGTCATATTTATATCATATTATCAGCCAGTATTGTATGAATAATAACGTTACTATTGAGTAAATATGGTTTCATATTCCGTTAAAAAATGATTGGGAGATGGTCTTGTTAAATCTAGTTTGTCTCTGGTTCTAAAGTTTTCGCAATTTAAAGGTTTTAAGTTTTTTATGGCAAAAAATGTTGGTAGATTCAAAGTTCAGCGGCTTAAGTTAGGCTTAATGGAATCGAAGTTTGAATTATAATTTGAAAAATGTTGATCTTAATTCTTAGAATTGAGTTTAAGTATTTAAAATAGTAAATTTTTATTATAAAATAAGCATCTATCACGCTTTTATAAATTTACTATTTATGGATATATAAACTTAATTCTAAGGACTAAAATTAACAAAATCTTTATCTATGAAGTTAGAAGTTAACAAAACTCCTATAATTTATATATGTTTTCATGCTACAACATATAGAACTTAAAAAGGTGCTTGAGAAATGTCAATCAACTATTGCATGGTTTTCTTCAGAACATTTGCACTTGAAGAGGCTTGATTAAAACATTTTAAAACAATGTAAATAATGCTCGTATATGTCTCATTATTCTTCCATTTTCATGTTTATTATGTATTGTAGGGGCACAGATGATAGTGCTGAAAACATGCATCAAGGTTTTACTCATTTCTTTGAATCAACCTTTGAGAGTACAGAAGGAGTTGCAGAGTATGTAGGTCATCCAGCCCATATTGAATTTACAAATTTAATTCTTCCCTGTTTGGAGAAAGTGATTGTGATTTAATGATTTATTACTTTTGTGAACATTGTAATGCTCCCTTTTTGCCATATGTTGAGAGGTTTTCTTTGTTTATAATATAACTAGTAAGTTTTTTATATAAATTGCACAATCTTTTGAAGTTTCAAAATTTTCTAAGTAAAAAAATTAAAAAATAATTGTAAATGCTTTCATTATTAATAATTAATATTTGATTATATTGTATAAGATTAAATAAAAGATACAGATTTTTTAAATTAAAGAATAAATTACAAAAAAATATATCGCATTATATAGGAATCGTCTACCCTTTATTTTTATAAAATTTTCTAATTATTAAATACATATAAAATATTTGATATATTTTATATTTTCAAATATTAATAAATAAATATTTTTATTTAATATTATTTTTTAAAATAATAGGAAGATTATAAGAAAGCTAATTGGAGTATATTCCCTTAGTATATATCCTTTGAAGGGGAATGTTTTTCCTAATCTTTAATTTAATAGGGCTAGGACTTAACTAAATGCAATAAAAATCATAATGTTCTTCTTCTTCTTTTTTGTCTAATCAAATCATAATGTTTAAACCCAAACAATAACCAAGTAATTGAACTCAAACTTGGTACAAAAAAAACTAACATTTTAAGGTTTGAAGTAATAATAGCCATAAAGAAGTTTATTGCACTAATTTTATGTAAAAAAAAAAACTCAACTGAAATATATAAATATTTGTTGACTGACTTTAGCATTGTGCTTAATTTAGATAAATGATTCAAAGTCAATAACAAAATATTTTAATGAAACCATTGAAATCACAAGAACCATTTTACATTGGGGAAAACTATAAACAATTAGCACAGAAGTGAGAAAGCATTCAAAAGAACAATTTGACTCTTAAATCTAATGCAATTGAAAGTCAACCTGGGTGGATAAAAAATAATTGTTTATGGGTGTGCTTCAATCATCAACATTAAAATGGCAAAGACCACTGTTTCTCTTGTAGTAATTAGGGAAAACAGAAAGAACTTGCAACAACTTCAATTTTTTAATTTTAAGAAACTTCAATACATTGAATTATTCATTGGATAGTTAACCATTTACTATATAATATAAAATAGAAAATTGATGAAACTTTGACCCTGAACTATTCTTTCTACCCCTCTCAATTATGGACAAGTAATTCAGTCCACCAAAATTATTTAAATCAAAGATGAGAAATAATAATAATAATAATAATAATAATAATAATAATAATAATAATAATAGAAATCAGAAGTGAGGATCATGAAATTAATATATGGAGAGAATAATGAATATAATTGTTTAAGATGCTACTGTATGCTATACAGAATTTTGAATCACAATTATAAACATTTTTTTTATATTTAAAGTGACCAGCTGTACCAACCCTATTTATTTGAATTTCAGCACCTAAAGAAAAGGGGGGCAAGGGTACCTGTAGATTAGAAAGTACATTGACAATATCCATTATGCATTTAGTAGTTGGAGAAGGAACTTAGATAAACATTTTAACAAATATGGAGAAAAGAATTAAATTAAAAAGATAAAATAATTTTATTTTAACCAACTAAAATTAATTTATATACCTTAATTTATAAGAAATTAGATAGAAATGATTTTTTAAAAATATCATAAATTAATTTTAACATAATAAAAAAATAGTTTATATGTCTTCCTCATGATTTTATTTTCTTTTCCTCTAAAACTTTATGAGAATATTATTCAAACCCTCTGAAATCTTCACTTCTCAATATGGACATTGTTTCGTTCATATTCGCAGAAATATCAGGAGATGAACACCAATGAGAGACAAGCTGCGAACATCGTTGGTGACATTTTCAAAGCTAATAAAACAACATAATTTTCTAAATTGCAACAGTGTCTGGTTACATTGTTAGGTCCTTGGTCACTTTCAGTGAGTCATGGTCTAAAATCCTTAGATCTCCAACAAAAATATCAATCCGTGAAATTTTATTTTATTTTTTACTTTCAATTTTCAAATTGGCGATGACCCATGATTATAAAATTAAAGCAAGCAAAAAGGGTACATTTAATAAAATTTCACTATTGTCCTCATTTTATACAAACTTTTCTTGATTTATGCAATAAAATAACACGGTATACTCTTTATAATAACAGAAAAAAAATCTTAATTTTTTATATAACCAAATAAATTAAGAAAATTTAGAGTAATATAAAATAAAACGAAAATATTAGATAAAATTTTATTAAATTGAAAGTGGTATACTATAAATATAATTTTACCTTAAAGTTTTAGAAGATGATGTCATGACATGGGGTTATCCAATGACTGGCCAAGAAAGCTCCATGTGATGCTCTTTGTATAGTACAAAAGACTTTTGATTAATTAATGAAATAAAATACGCCCCTCATACAGTTGGAAGAAACTTCCCTCATACATTATTAATACATGAATCAATCAATTATTATACAAATGTATATTATATTGTTATAATCATATAGCTTTCACACCAAACCTCACCAGCAACTCCTTAAAATTTGCTACAGAAAAAGGTTCTTTCCACGTTTGCATCTATCCCAACATGACTTTAAATAGACCTCAAAGTCCTCAAATTGCATATACAGTTTCTCTCTACTTCTCACTCTTTAGTACCCTTCAGTGTGTTTATCTCCAAATTGTTCACAACCATGTTAGATTCTATATTGGAGTTCATCACACAAGCTGCTTCGAGCTCAGCATTCATTTTCTGCTTCTGCAATTTGATCATAGTCATTATCCTACTAGACTTGAAGCCTAGCCTCAGCATTCATCAAAAAAGTGAAATCAGTTTTTCCAAGGGTCCAAATCAGAAACAAGAAACAAACATCAAGAGTGTAGTTGAGAAAGACACAGCATCATTGGCACAAGTAGTGGAAGTGTCACATGTGATGGAAACTGAAGCTGTTGTTGACAACATTGAAATTGAAGGCAATGATGATTGTAGCAATGAAGAGGAGGAAAATGAGGAAGAGGAAGAGGAAGAGGATGATGAGCTAAGGAGAAGAGTGGAAGAATTTATAGAGAAAGTTAACAAAGGATGGAAAGAAGAATTGTTGAGCACATCAAGCTTGGTATAGGACTCAAATAATAAGGGAAGTTAGGCCTAAACTTTGGGTTATTAATCTCATGCTTGAGACATTTGAGGCTTTTGTTGAATTTTGTTGTGTTGTACCATACAAGAAAATATCAGAGTTAATTAGTTGTTTATATGTGAATAGAGAAGTTCTATGGTTCTGACTAGAAATCAATCTCTCTTGCTATGATGTTTTTGGTGAATTGGTGGTGACTGTTGAAACATGTCAACCATAGTGCTTTGGTAAATTAAACCAGAAAATGAACCAAAGTTGAGTGAGTTCCCATGAAAGAAAAGAAGATAAGATTTTCAATGTAGAACTTTATTCTTGCTAACATCATCACATGGATAAGGGGGAAAAGTGATGTGCATAAAGAGCATGCTTGGAAGCAGCATATGTAGGGATTCCTTTCATCTTTTTTTTATCTTTTGTAAAGAACAAAGAAATATTTTGTGGGAATTTCTTTATTCCTACATATTCCTCTTCTTTTTCCTCTTATTGGATGCATTAGGAAGGCACTAGCCACAAAGGGAACTCTATGTTCTTTCTGGGAATTGGGATGAAACACAGCAAAAAAGTTATGAAGTGCAAGATTTAGATATTAAAAAATCATGGTTTGGTACATGTAATGTGCCATTGATCATTTTATTTGATTTATGTTTTTGTCAAATTAATTGCTGAAATGATTTTTATTTTCTTATGTATTACTTCTTATGGCACTTTCTTATATAGGAATTATTATTGTGTTTATGCAAAAAAGAATTTTAATTATGCCCACAGTATCAACCAGCAGAGGAGCACTAGGTTAAAAAGGATAATATTCCTAATGCTATCCGAAAGTGCATCATGCTTATATGATTTTGTGATAAAGACAATAAAAATTAATTGGATTAGATATGGTTTTAATTTTTGTATATGTGAGATTTTAATTTTAGTTTTATATTTCTTTATTTTGTTTTATTTTGTTTAAAATTTAGCATTTTTCATAGCAAAAAAAAAATAGAATTTTTAATTTCTTTTTACTGACGTTATGTAACAAAAAATTAACATATAATAATATATTAATTACTCACAATATCATTAAAAAATATTAAATTTATAAATAAAAAAGAAAAATTAAAATATCAAAAAATTATTAAAAAAATATATTTAAATTAAATTAATTTCATTAATGTCGTTATTTCTTTGGTTAGTAAATAAGAAAACATTTGAGTATGTTTAATTTCATTTTTAAAATTAGTTTTAATTTTTAAAAATAAGATATAATACAAATTTATACTACATTTTATTTTTAAAAATAAAAAATATTTTTAAAAAGTAAATTAAACATGCTCAAAGTTTATCTTCTATTTTTTCACTAATAACTATAGCAAAGTTATTTTCCACAAATATGGTCCAGACCCACACCAATTAGTAGCATAATAAATAAATGATTTATATATTATATGGTTTTTTAGATAAATTTAAAAATATTTTAAATCTATAAGATATATATATATATATATATATATATAATTAAATAAATGGTAAATAAATCATAAAATTTAGTGAAAAATTATAAATTATTTTCATAATCTCTTATTTAAGTTAAAAGACAAATCCATTTAAATATAAATATATAATATTATATTCTTGTTGTATCAAACCTTTATCTTATATTTTAAAATTATAATTTATTAACCTATTTAAAAGTTTTAATTCATTGACTTTATAAAAAATGTGTTTGTTAGTCTATTTAAAAATAGGTCCATTGAATTTTTATTATTATGAAATAGGTTTTCAAACAAATTTTAATAATATTTTACTCTTTTGAAAAATATGGCTAGAATTTTAAAACATATCTATATTTAACTCTTTTCTCAAGTTTAGAAATAGATTAGGCCTGTGTAAGATAAAATTTGACTTTACCTAATCTACCTTTTGCTTTTAATTTAGTCACAACTTTTTTTTATTTGATCCATTAAGTGGAAAAGTAATAATTTATGCAATCTTTCATTGCAATATTGTCACCAAACACAATTTTGTGGATGCTAATGATCCTATAACAGATGATAATGTTGACATAGCCATTAATGGAGTTATTAGATAAAAGGAGAAGAAGGGGAAAAAAAATAACATCACATAAGGTTTGGTGAAATTTCTAGTGGTTGCATTAACTTCTTCTTTTTTTCATTTAGGGTCCTCTTCTCACTTATTTTAATCCTAGGCACCCTAGTTTCTAGCATCACCACCATTCACTAACCTAGTGTTACCAGTGGCACAAATGGTTGAACCATCACAAACCCTACAATAACTTTTCAATAAGTTTTTATTAAGGCAAAAACAAAAAATACAATTATTATTAACATACAATATTTTAATATCCCTTTCATGTTGATATGATCTAATGAAATATTTTTTAATTCTTTTTTATAAAAATATTTTAAATTTTTTATTAGTACTTTAAGATTTTTTTTTAAAAGTATCCTTTTTAAGTTTATATGATCATACAATATTACAATATTATGAAGTATTTATTGTTTTTTCACATATTTATTATTAAACCTTTCTAATTTTTTTTAAAATTAATATGATAATAAACTTTAAATAAGAGTAAAAATTAACACGTTAACTATTAGTAAATTTAAGTTTATTATCATATTAATTTTAATAATTAATTTAAGTTTAAAATAGGATTTTAATTTTAGTGAACTATAAACAAATCTTAATTACATGAAAAGAATTCAACATTGAATTACAGAAAAAGGTATTGTTAAATATTGATAAAACAGATAGGAATATGCAAAAAGAATACCAACAAAAAATCATTTTAGTGTATCTTATAACAAATTAAAAAAATAAAAAATTTTAAATGGAACCAAAAGAAGTATTTCAGAATAATTTTAAAAAAAATCGAAGGCAATCACATAAATCAAATCAAATAAACCAAAAAAATACAGTAAATCAATAACTTTCTATTATAATTTTGTAGGATGAGGATCACGATTTTGTTAGTGTTGTTTAAGAAGAAGGATTTAAAAGAAAAAAAAAACTTTTTTAGCTTAAATAAATATATTCCAATTTAAATTTTTCAAAAACTACAAGATATAAAATAATATATTAAAATCAATTTATTTATTTATTTATTATAATAAATGATAAAAAATATTTTAATTTAAAATAAAAAAGTTATTCTCTCATTCTTTTCTCTTTAAAATCTCATTACAAACAACTCTTTAAAATAAATCAATTTTTTAAAAAATTATAAAATTTAAAATTTCATCTATATAAACATTTAATTATCTAAAACTTGACATATATATAATCATAAAAATAATATTACATAAATTATTAAGTAAAATAACATTTAAAATAAGTGGATTACTTTTCTTACTTAGTTTATTATGCATGTACATGCATTTATGATCTTTAATTAATGATTATAATTTTTTTTTTATTTTGAAGAGATAAATCATGTAAGATGAGTGGTCTCTTTCTAGTAAAAAGAAATAATTGGTTCTTAAACTAATTTTATTTATTTATTTTATAATGACTAAAATTATATTTAACTTTAAATTATTTTTATGGTCATTAACAACTTTCTCTTGTTGTGGTGGTGGTTGAGTATTTGTAGGCCTAAATTAAAATGAAAGAAGGGACCAAATTAAAATATCACAACCCTACTAAATGCATTAACACCCCGTCATTTCTCCATGCATTATGTTCCATTAATAGGGTTGATTCATTGATTTGCGATTTCTTCTAACTAAATTATAGAAAGAAATAAAATTTAATAAATACCGTTTTTATCTTTTAGATGACATTTTTTTTTTGTACTAATGTTTCACCCTTAAATTGGTACAAGACAAAATGGGTTTAACATGATTTAAAAGTAACTGTTTATATTTTTTCTATTATTTGTAATTATAAATTCAATTGGATGAATCAAATAGAGTCTCATCTAATATATAGACGAAAAAATTAATGTTTTTGTAATTCAATTTAAAAATTAATTTTTTTTATTTTTAACATATTTTAATTTATTTTTATCTTTTAATTTTAAAAAATATTTTAAATATGTCATTTTTTATTAAAACTCACTCCTTATTCATGCAAGGCGATCATTCTCCATCTTTATATAAACTATCAAAAAGTAAATATATTTTATTAGTATAGGTAATACTAATTAATTCTTATACGTTATTCTTAACTATATAGTCTTATACTTATATAGTGTTTGAATTTATCTTAAATATATGTTGATTCAGTGTATGTTCGATTTATTTATGTATCTCTTCTACCAAAAACATATCAAGAGCTACTTTTCATTCGTATCTTATTGCACCAGTGATCACTTTTTGCTCTCAATAATTACAACATACCTAATTAGTAACCCTCTTTCATTGTTATTAGGAAGTCACATTAGTACTCTCAATGTTTTTACGTTGTTATGTTCAGTCACACCTCTTCGAACGAATATGTACTTATATGTACTAGTTTGCATAATAATATTTTTCCTTAAAATATTTGACACATTTTTCATCTTCTTTCACTCCTCGTCAACCAACTCAAAAGATAACTAAAAAAAAACTTTTAATGCACTATTTGCTTCAACAATTTTACTTTCTATGACGACCTATGTCTTCTCTCTCATTACAACTATGTCTTTCACTCTTTCTACATGGATGTTTGATTTTCTTCTCATGTCATTATGCTATTTATAATGTCAATATCATTTTCTCGCACCACATTGATATTTTATTGACTTCCGAAAAAAATTCTAGTTAATTTACGCGCTCAATGATAATTTAATAATACGTATATAAAAAACATACTTGGTTAAAAAAAAATTAATAAATTTGATCTCTATAAAAACTTAATCTTTAACTATTAGATAAAAACACTTTTTTATTCAAAAGAAAAATATAAATGATCCGCACTCTAAAAAAAAAGTTGTGCTACTTACCTATTAAATGATTTTTTTCTTTTTTAATATTATAAATATAAAGGAAAAATATAAAAGAGAAAACAATAAAAAATGTAATATTATTTAGATAAATAAAAATATGTGTAAGAAATATAAAAAGATGTTTGCTTATGCAAATGAGTAAAAATAATAAAATAAATAAATAAATTGCATAAAAACCTTTTTTATATTAATAAAAAAAGTAAATTTAATCAAAATAATTTTAAATTTTAAAAACAAATTATTTATGTAACTTTATTTTTAAGATATTATTTATGTGTGTTTTTAAAATTATTTAAAGCTACAATAAACTAAAAAGGAAAAAGAAGAATCCAACCCCATGTTACTATTCATTTCAAGTTCATGAGAGAAGAAAATAAATCCGTAGTCAGTGTTTGTTTCCCTTTTTAAAAGTAATTTTCTATTTTTAAAAATAAAATTCAATACAAATTTATATTATATTTTTAAAAATAGAAAAATATTTTTAAAATAGAACTCAAACATACTCCCACTCCCTCATTTTCTTTCCTTCCACTAAAAATATAAAATATTCAAGCAAATAAAAATATCTTTGTACAATAAATTCACTCCTATTATTTTATTTGAGTACAATCTCTAATTTATTTTTTTTTCAAATTTTCCCTAAATAAAAAATGTATTTTACTCTAATTTTTTTTATATTTTTCTAGTCATTACAACCAATCAATATTAATAAGAACTAATGAAATTGTTTTTTTAATACACTAAGTCAACTTGACACATTAAATGATATCACATAAAAAAAAATATCGTGTAACTCTTAATAAAACTTTATAATCAAATTCATCTCATTGCACAAAATTCTAAAGTAGTCATATTCTCCCATTTCAAGAAGTAAAATAATGATTTTCTCTAATTTCTTTTCTCCTAAAATTAATTAATCCAAACAAACCTTTAATGTAGCATTAAATGCTTTTGCTTCATATCCACCCTGAGAAATTTTTAAAAAAAACTGATGCTTAAACGTTTTAGAGTTAATTAAAAAAATTCCAAAGATTCATGTTAGCGTGTCATCATCATCATGAGAAAATTTCTACGAAGTCCATTTCAACTCTTAAATTTGGGGACCACAACATGCAACCATTGCAAGTGTAAAACTGACCTATATACAATCACATCTCCTCCTAATAGTTTCTTCATGGATTAACCAAATACTTCACAAGAATGCATGTCAAAGGTACTCAATACCAAATATTGACCTCATGATAAAGGTATAAAATGGCCTCAAATAAATATATTCCCTAGGCCTAGATAAGTATTTATAAAAAATAACAATATACAAAATTAACAATTTTTTATAAATTATTTTATTTTATTAATTATTTTTTACTCTTATAAACTCTTATTAAAAAAATTATTCAAACTAAACCAAACATAAGTTATATATTATTATTTTAAACTTGTGTAAAAAATCTTACCCTTTATTATATTAATTTTTTAACATAATATAACTTTTTTTTCTTGCTAACATGTATAACTTTACACATAATAAGAAACTATATATAATATTCTTTAACAAAAATTACAAAATTTAATGTAATTAAATGCATTAATATTACTAAATATTGCAATTTTTTTCAATTTTTAAAAAAATTGCTATAAATATTATACAACATTGCAAGTTAGAAAAATAGTTATTCTATGTAAATAACAGCAGTTCCATAATTTCGGGCAATGAACCATAATGCAAGAGAGAGAGAGAGAAGACAAAAGCTAAATGTAATTTCTTCTTTCACAAATTAAATTGTTAAAGTTACAATTTAGAAAGCACCCACATGCACTGACATTTCAAACAATCTAACAAGTAACATAACATATATCCTACATCTATCTATCTATTACTACAACAATATTAGAGTTGCAACATGAGAACAAACACATGAAAAAGCCTAATAAACAGATTTCCTAACACTAACATCTAGTACCAAAGACAACAATTTCCCAAGTCAAAACCAACCTCACACTCATCCCACTATAAGACTTTTGTCAAGTTAATTGTCAGCATAAGTCAAGCATGAGTGAGCCTAAATGCCAAATGGGGTTTGACTCTGCAGAATATCAAAGACTTTTTTTGCATGGAACAATGTTTAGCATGCAACTCCAGCATTTGTGTGGCTTGGATTAGGCTCCTTGTCAGGCAAAGGAGGAGCATCATCATCAATAGGTGAGTTTCTAGAGCCTTGACCATTGTTAAAAGAAGCAATGTTGTCAATTTGAAAGGCAGCCGGTGTCATGATCGGCTTTACGCTGCCGAGACCGAATCTTATTTCTTCAGTAGAAGTTGTAGGATTAACGTGTGTAGGTGCAATCATTGATATATGCTCTACCCTTTGCTTCTTGGGTTTCTGCTCCAGCTGGTGACCTGGTAGAAAAGTTGCTACAACAACCTGATGCACAAGATGAGAAGTGTCAAGTGTTTAGTTGTATGCGAAAGTTTAGTTTTCTCATTGCATGTTTTTTCTTTCTTTTCTTATTCAGGAGTAGTTGATATGGCTCTACACGTTAAAAGGGTAAAATGCAGAATTATAAGTATTAACTGAGATTGTGATAAAATACATCAATGCACACAACAAATTATTAAGTTAATAAAATCTTAACCATGTTTTTCTAATCAATGATTATAATTCTGCACTAAACCTTTAGTAGGAGTCAAATCAAAGTTATCCATCACTCGTCTTATTGAAAATCACCAAAAATATATGGGACCTACTCCTAATTTAATGAGTCTCACTCCTGCTCGTGCTTTTGTTGTATCTAATAAATTTTAACCAATAATAGAGAATATTAGAAAGCGTGTGTTCTTAGCAATTAATCTTATTTTATTTAAGAAGACTGATCTTGTATCCAATCCTACAAATTTTATAAATGAAGTAATGAACACAATTGCTTTATGATTAGAGTAACATGAATACTCACCATTTGCACAAATGATATCTTATTTCCTTTTTTAATAAAGGTCAGAAAATCTTGATAAACAATTTCACAAGTTTTTAAAATATTCAATCAAATATACTCTTACACAACAAAAGTTACCTGCACAGGACCAGCAGCTACCAGCAAACCAGCCAGTCCACCTCCCATTACTCGACCATCTGGACCTACCAAAGAGACACTCATTCCACCAGATCTGCTCCTTGTTAACCCATTCTCAGTTGGCATAAATGAACCAGACAAGGAAAGAATCTCAAAACGCCCCTGCCAAAGCACCAAATACATGTCAGCATTTTTATTTGATGTATTCAAAAGGGAAAGATACTGAACTATCAATATTCAGTTGGAAATTATTAATGTGAGAAAAGAAAAAATAAGCATCTCAGATCTGGAACTGCTTGATAAGGACCAAAACTTTTACAACTCTTCTCTCTCTGTCCAAATCAGAGACTTAATCGACAACATTAGTATCACCTCTTAGTGGATGACATAATTAGCGCAACCAATAACATCTGCCAATACAGATATTGCAAGAGAAGCCAAATCATGTAACAAAGATAATTATGCTCACCCAATTACCAAAATCAAATTTAACAAAATCCCACAGCCAGTAAAGATCCTCCTAGTTTATTATTATTTTTTCTTGGTAACAACAGTCAACTGTTGATGTGTCCATTTCTCACTTAATATTGTCCAACTGTCTCCCACAAAGGACCACTCAGAACATAAATGATAGCATATTATAAAAACATCACTCCCCTTTCCCTCTCCCAAGAAGTTAATTTACACAAACACATATAAGCTGATAGCGAAACTTTTGACTAAACACACTTTTTTTCCTGTTATTAATATCAAGGTTGTCAAAATCGAGATATTACCTAGGATCATAAGGAGAAGAAAAATATGTAAATAGTGTGATCATAATACAGATCATACTCTCTTTCTCTCTGTCTGTGTGTGTGCATGTACTGTGTGTAATTTTCACTACACAATTATATTTAATTTAAAAATATGTAAAATGGTCATACATGATATAAACTATAAAGTACATAAATTTCATATATCAGCAATAATATTACAGAAAGGTCATACTTAAGATAAACTACATATTTTAGAACACATGTTCTAGAACATGTGAAGACTGCGTCCCATCAAAAAAGGACAGACATGTGAGTGGCTGAAGAAGTGCAGAGCAAATCCGGAAACACAGACATCAACACAAGATCAGAACTCTAACAAAGACAAACTTGAAGGCTTCAATTCAAAGGAGGCAAGCTCAAAGCAGATCAGAACAGAGTAGAGAAATCAGATCAGAGAATGCTCTAACACAGAAAACAGAGGTTGACATGAACATAGATCGAAAACTGGAATTCTACTAGTATAATCACGGTTTTGACAACGATGAAAGAGGTAGGACTGAACTAACCTCATATGTTAAAGTACCACCACAAGAAGTTGGTTGGCGTAGTGTAACATTTGAAATTGTGCCATTTGCAGAGAGAATGCAAATCGCACGACATCCTTGTTGGGAGAAAGACATAATCTTCATAGTAACATCCTGAAAGAGGACATATGAAAATCACAAATACAATTACAAATAAGCACTCCATAAACTTTGTAGAAATACTAATACTAAAATTATACAAACAACAAAGTTGGTGCTAGATTACTTTCAATAATAACCGTTATGGTACAGAACCTAAAATTATGATCCATGAAATATTAAAATACAAGTTGTACTATTTCATGTGAATACTATATATTGCAGCCAACAATATTTCTTCATCATTATATTTATAACAAAATAAACTTGCTAATGTCTATATTCATTTTAAGCATATATTATCTATTTCACAATTATACTTTACACTATATATTAAAAAAATAATATTGCCATCCCTACTGTAAGCTTTAAGATCTCTAAATGCAGAATTGATAACCAATTTAATGCAAACGCATAAATATGTCAGTGTCTGTGCATGCAGACATATAAGCTCACATCCATGCATGCACAACACCTTTCAATTTAGATATCATAACTTTGACGTAGGCAATTCAAATGGATAGCCAACAAATGTCAAAAAAACAAATTTTAGCTTTCTTTCTTCTATTATCCTCCAGTAGACTTTTAAAAAGCTTTTAGAACTACAACTTCCAAAATTATAACAGCAGATATTACAACAATATGCATAATTAAACAAATATGTTTAATTATTTGATTGTATACAGCAATATTACTTTACTAAATCATAAAGACAGTGAATACTGCACCAAATAGAGAAAGCAAAATAAATATCATACATGCTAACAGGTATTTATTTACATTTAAGAGGTAAGATAATATTGTATGAAAACAAATGTATAAATTTTTATTGAGTAAACGAAATAACTGGCCTCTACATTTCTTCTGAATAAGACATTCACACAAATTGGCTGAATAGAATCTGACTATTTTCAGAATATAGACCTAAAAGGAAATAAACAGAATACCTCGCCAGCATTTACTGTAAGCACATGAGGTGTAAAATTGGCACCAACAGAGTATGCAATTCCATCACCTAAAAAATACATAGGCAGAAGATTAATCAATAGATAAAGAGAATGTAAGTTCAGAGAGTTACTATCTAATTTGACAAAAAAGAAGGCACTTTCATTTCATTATATAAAAGCAATCCATAAATAACCAAGGTATACATCATTTAGCAAGATTCACCTTTAACTGAACATAATATGGTTGAGGAATTAAGTTATATTGACCCAAAGATCATTTTTCAAGAGAACAGAACAATGAATGCAGTTTTGATTTTGTAGCCCAAAATAGAAGTTGCATTCTTTAAATCATATATGTATATGTGTAGATATAGTGTCAAATTTAGTAAAATGACACATTTAATAACTTTTTTATCAATCTAACTGATTTACATGATATTATCATTATGATCATGTGTTTAAAAGTTTACACAATTTAGACAATCATGAATGTGTAATATAACAATAAATATTTACTTATAATTTAAATATCATATTATATGTTAAATAAAGTAAAGTGATAAAATATTGACTAATTTTTTAATTGTGTGAAATTTCATGGACTTAATTTACTTTATAAATCAACAAATAGATTGACAAAATCTACTTTTGACAAGTATATATACACCATTACCTGTTTTATACAGAGTTTCACTCAACTAGGTCAACAAAAATAAGATATTCTACACTTTATGTATGAGAAATGGGCACGCCCAAACCAGTCCGATAAAAATAGGGATTGGGCTTTACATTTTGAGCCTGAATTAAATTTGGGTCTTCTAGTCCAATCCGATCAAGCCCAATGCAAGTTAAGCCCACAAAAAAGCAAGCTTTACCCATTTTGTACACTATTTTTACAAGCTCAAATTAGATCAAGGTCTTTGTAACCCGGCATACTAAAGCCTGTTACACATCATGGACCATCCCAAATGGGCCAGGTAGCCCGTTTTGCCTGCTCTACATGACATAATAAACCCCTGCTTATAGTTAAGGACATAAAACAGCCACAGTGGCACACAAATACTGCATCAGCCTGATTCCAAATATATCATTAAACTAGATTGACCCTGATGCACAAATCAAAGGCATAAAGAATCAGCTAAGCTATGCTTCATGTAATCCAAACCTCCAAGACTTTGTTTCAAAGCGAAACATTGATGTAGTATAGTGTAGGTTTCATATTAAAAAAGAAAAGAAAAGAAAAAAAAGTCAATGCCTCACGTCCATCCCCTTCATGATGTGGAAATGTATCCTCCATTCCTCCACATTGAAGACCACAGAGCTACTCCATGAGCTTAAAAGGACTAATTTGAATGATAATAAAAATTAAGACTATCATTTTATGAACCCACTTTTAACATGCTACAAGGAAGAATTCATCTTAAAATATTTTATAAGTTTTTCCATCCTACTTTCCTATAACACTACACATTTTTCAAATATGCAAATTCAACAAGCATCCTTGCTCAGATCATTCAATTTTGGGACCTTATTTTGCAGCATGTCATGGTCCAAATTCCAAACCAATAACCCGCATGTCAGATAGCAAGCTTTTCAATATAATTTTAGTTATTAGACTTGACCATTTCAAGCCTTGTCACATCAACTAAGTACTGAACTGAACCTATTGAATATGCTGGTGTGGTGCCTTCAGTTATTCTAACTCCATTTTCTTGGTCAGATTATGTCACCTTCCCCTCATAAAGGAAAAAAAGGAGTATCATATGTTACCTTAACTGAAAACCGACCACACTTCACTTTGACCACAAAATATCCCCTTCCATCACCACACATCTTCATTTCTAGATCTGAAAGGGAATCTAAGCTAAGGGTCCACTTGTACCACCACATATAAACTCCACCTAAGAAACATGAATCAAATCCAAGAAACAAAACATGCTAAAACCTCAGATTAAATCATATTTTACATAGTAAATAACAACCCTACTAAATTTAAAACATAAATCTACTGCTTTTTACTACTAATGTAACAGTAAAATAAAACACACACAAAAATAAAAAATAAAAATTCAAACATGCAGAAAACAAAAACATACAAAGCACTAACAAATGAGATTAAAGGCTAAAAATGAAAGGATCAAAGTGGAATCATTTTGCTACCTGGTCCTGCACCTTCAAAATCATAAAACTTATAAGACTTCTTGATTGATTCAAGTGGCTTCCCTCTACCCCTTTTCCAGCCTGAGAAATCTGCGGTCAACGGAATCGACGCCGATATTGGCATCGGCGACAGTGCCAGCCTGCCATCCGGTCCATACTTCCTAGGCCTACCCCTCTTCTTTTTTCCCTCCGTACTACCGGTAGTCACCGCCACAGCACTCACCGGTGCCGTTGGCGGCGCCGGCAACGGCGACTCCGCCGTGGGCCCGGAAAACTGCACGGAGTTCAGAGCCACGTGGAAGCTCTCTGGGGCCTCGTTAGCCTTAACCGCATGCCCAGGACTAAAAATCTCTCTTTCTTCCATTTTTAAGCGAATCAAAGAAAAACTAAAACACTCTAAAAGCTTAAAACACGCTTAAACCCTTCCCATTGAAGATTCAAGCATTTTCAAACTCAAAAACAACGAAAATTTTGAAATTTTGGAACTTTGTGATGACGAATGTACTTGAATGCAGAACTTCGATACCTAGAAACAGTACAATGATGTTTGAGCTCAGAAAAATTTGTAACTTAACAGAAAAACTTCAAAAAACGAACTTTTTACAGAAATGATGAAAGCCCAGAAGCAGAATTTTGAACGGTTGAGGTTAAACTACGAGAAAGACGCGGCACTGTAGCTCGAATCTCCACCATTGCAGTGAACGAAAAGAGCTTAAAAAATAAAATTTTTTGAAAAATTTTCTACAATTACAGAGAAAAATAACAATTCTGGTTCATAAATTCTCCAGAGTGAAAATTAGGGTTTTCAGGAAAAGGAGGAGTAAATAAAGAAAATTTGGAAAAAAATATAATAAATGTAAAATGATAAAGTAATTAAATAATGGGAATTTAATTATTAATTAATATTTTAATTGCAAAATTCAAAGTATAAATTTTGGTTAAGAAATTGTTTCACGTCCGTCTTGGAAATTTAATAAAGCTGATTTAATAAATGACTGTGAATACAGATACTTAATTTGAATGCATTTAAAAATAAGTGATATTTTTGGAAAAGAAAGAAAAAAAATGCCTTTTCTATATAAAATTGCCATTTATTTATTTATTGCTGTTTCAAACCAAAAGAAAAAAAATTATTCGGAGCTGTAAAGCAAAGGTTGGAGCCACCCCATTTCCCCAACTACTGACAAGTTCTTTGTCTTTACAGTTAAATTAAAGTTGACCAACATACATAAATGGATGTTTTCGCAAGCAAAAAGAAAATGGATTGAAATGCCCTATGGGTTTGGTGAATCTACTCTATGATGCCTCTACAACGCATGCACGTCTCTTCTATCTTTTCTCCCATTGTTTTTGACCTACTGTTCACTCTTTCCCCCCCTTCTTCTCCTCTTTCACAGCTTGTGTTGACCCAAAGGACCATGTCTTAAAACCTTTTCTTCTACGAGAAGAAAAACGAACAATTTTTTTTGAAAAAAAATGCAAACAGAAGGGCTACTAATACTATGGGCCTGCATCAATAATGTTAACATAAACATATATTAATAGGCCTTATGACACTGCACAGACACTGCTATTTTTTATTGCACCAACTTCCCAAACATGCAAACTTTACCGATAAGCATTAATGAATGAGAAACTAAATCGTTTTGTGCTAAATTGTACATATACAAATAAAGCAATGTCTCACGACAAAATTTTACACACAAAATAAACTACTTTTGTTTTGTGCTTCCTGTTGACTTGATATTACTATCAGTTGTAGACAGTTGTCAATATTTGCAGCCTAGATAGCAAATTAAGATTTTTCTTTATTGGTAGCCAAAACAAGTTGACTTTCTGTTTGGGGGGGGGTGTTAAGGTGCATTTTCTCTCTCACAAAGTCACAATCAACTGGTGAGAAAGCAAAACAAGCTCAGATTTGGTTGTATGTACATATCTCTGTCACACGTAATTAGTCTTAATATATAATTTTGTCTTGTTTTTCTATATATGAAGCGGAGATCAAACCAGAAAGAAGAGTAGAAAGCAGAGAAATTTTAATTAGTGAAAAAAAATAAATCACATTAGATTGCAAAATCCTGCATTAATTAGGCCCTTTAGCCACGTCCACTTCTCTTAGACTATGTATGTACATAATCGGGAAGCCAAATACATTTGACTTATGAAAATCATTAATGTAATTTAAAAAACCAAACAGAAAAAAATCATGCTAACACAAAATCGAGCCTTCTTTCCTCAAAGGAATATTCAATCTCTTGAGCCAAGTCACCTCCATATGGAATTGACACAGGAGCTGGAGTCATGGACATATTCATTGGAATTGACACTGTCAAAGGTGTTGTGGGAACAGGAATAGGTATTTCCTTTGGAGTTCTATTCTCTTCATCCACCACTGTGGCTGTCTTTGAAGTAGTGGTGGATGGCAAATTGTTGAGGGCCGATATTTTCTGCAACTTCTCATTCTGTATATTCAGTTCATGTGCAGCATTTGCCACATTTGCTTTTGATGATACCGTTGAAGAGATGGGAGAAAAAGGTTGTCTTGTCAAAGGAGATTCTATGTCACGAACACTTCCAGCACAAATAGAGTATTTTCTCATACGAACACCAGCAATATCAAGTCCTCTTCTAGCTGCATGTACCCAAGAAAAGTGTCAAAGGAGTGTTGAGAGTTCTAAATGCATGAGCATACATATGGCACGCGATGATGATTGCAATTATAACCATGCATATATATAAGCAGTTTGTGCAGATTATGTGAAACACAAACAGCAAAGGAATGCTAGAAATACCAGCTAGAAATTATGGGAAAATCTACAGCTGAGATGTGGCTTTGACCTCCACCTTCAGCATCAAACAAAAAAAATGCCTACACCGTTCCTTGCTGCCACATACAGCCTTACCAAAAAGCCATCATCAAGAGTACTCAGTAGAATCCGATGCAGAATCTTCGTCTAAAACAAAGGAAAACATGAAAAGGTATCCAACAATCTGAGGTTGCGTTTAGATGGCAAGTTGACACATAACTACATTGATGGAGGCTAGTCATTCATTTTGAGGAAAGAAATTATAGAATGATAAATGCTATGCTAGTGGAACTTGATACTGACAGTAATAAAATTGCCTGCTTCTTTGAATGAACTTAAGAAAAAGGAAGGTGAAAAAAACCAAAGTAGAAGACAGAAAATTTGACTTCACCGATATTTATATTCTTAGAGAACCTACCACATTCCAAAATCCCTTACCATTTTAGCCAAAAATAAGGGCAACAAATTCTTAAGAGATATGCATTGATTCCTTTTCTTTCCTTTCAAACAAACAGGAAGGAAAAAATTAATATTAAATCCTTACCAAGTGAGAAATCTGCTAGCCATAGACTCAAAACAAAAAAAAAAAAAAAAAAAAAAAAGAGGGGAAAAAGAGTAGAGCAGAAAGAAGTTAATTACCTGATGATAAACATGAAACACCATCGTCCAGGTTATTTAGTTGCTCAATTTGGTGTGCTTTGTCAGTCTTCCTTGTGGAGCATGACTGGGCCGCTTTTGAATCAGGTTTTGGGGTTTGAAGCATTGCTCCACCAACAGAGACTCTTCTACTAGCTGCACTTCCAGTTCCAGTTGACATCCTAGGTGGCTTTTTTGCACTCTGGACCTTTGAAGGGCTTGGTTTTGACCCATAGAGTACTTCCTGTTCTGCTATCAATTGTCCCTGAAGTTTCTTCATGTCCTGAAACAAACATAACATTTTAACATGTTGTGGAGAAAGAAAAAAAAAAGCATAAACCGTTTATTTGTTGGATGATACAGATCAATAAAATGTTACCCGAATTTTAAAACAAAAGTCAGGGTTTTCTTATAACTAGTAACTAGACAACTTATATTGGAGAAATATTGCAATGCAATAAGTTCGTTCATACCCGCTGCCTACGACGTTCTTGCTCCTTCTCTTGCCGTGATAGGGAGTAGTCTTCAAGCATAGAGAGCAGACGTATCTAGAAAGATACATACAGCAAAATTAGTTGGACACAGACTTACCAAGCAACCAACAAACACTGAAATGACCTTGAATAACTCTTTCGGTAAGGGTACTTACACCATCATATGTGAACTCAATGCCTGTATCCTTTTCCCATGCTACAGTTTTTGAAGTCAAAGCGTCTACCATTGCTATATTCAACAAAGGAAAGTGATGAAAAAGGAATTTGACACTAATAAATAAACACTGAGGCACAGAAAAACAAGGTTGTGTTGATATCATTGAGATGGTAAAGGCCTTATATCAAAAGATTTAAAACAACAAATATGGCAAGCAAAGCAACAATCAAGACTGATTTTATAAATACCTGGCATTTTGTTAACCAAGGTGCGGGCTTTCTCAGCTCGTTTGAGAATAAGATGTGCTCCTCTCCCAGCATTGTACCGATTTTCATCCTGGAAGAAACAAATGTATAATAAAATTCATAAACTGTTTAAGTATGATAAAAATGGGAGGGGGAATCCACTTAAACCATTTAATAATTTTTTTTTATAAACATTGGATTTCAGTAGTCCAACTGCTAAATACACCATTCAATGTTTATAACAAGCTGTTAAACTTAAAACAGTATAATAAGTTCAAGACTTAAATCTGGGGTCTCCACCCAAATAAATGTAACAGAGGTGATAAGGAAGATCAAACAACAAACCCTGTTGTACTCCTCAAGCCAAGACTCTTCATCACATGCTGACAACAATTTCTCAACCTTTTCAAGTATTTCTTTTCTGACAAAGGCTTCCTCCTTAACTCGAGCAATCTGAAGTTCAATTTGTTCAAGCACACAAGCAGGGTCTACAGATCCTAAAAATGAAATGATGTAGACTTAAGGTTTGCAGAAGAAATAATTGCACACATGCAGTATATTGCTAGGACATTACCAGACTCTATAGCTTCAACAGCATATTCCACTGCACTATCAATTTCTGGAACCAAATGAGTTTTTTGACAAATCTCCTCTAGCTCTACTCTCTTCTTCAAAACAAGCTCTTTCATTTTGCTTGATTTTAACTCTTCTAACCTAGATACTTCTGCCTCAACCTGCATGAAATTATTGCTTCAGGAATTCCAAACCACAAAATATCAAGAAATCTAGTCCATATTTTCTAAAGTAACTAATAACTCACATGATTGATGAAGTCCTCAGACAAGGTGTTTGGTTCAGTTACTTCATGTTCTGAAGCAGCTATATTACAAGTAACATTCTGAAACATTTGTTGCTCTTCTAGAGGCGTATCCATCAAATTCCATAGCTCCAACATTGTTGAAGCTAGATCTTGTAGCTGCCGGACCATAAGCAATTTAAAACTTTCAACCAGAAGAAATAATGTGCAATTACAAATACAAAGTTTCTCATATCTAAATTAGATCTTGAAGCAGCCAGTCTTTACCCTCTGCATTCTCTGTAATTTAACTTTCCGCAGTTCTTGTATAGCAGTATCCAATTGACTGATAGTATCATTATTTACACTCTTGGATCCTTCTGAATTTCCTAAACCAGAATGAACTCCGTTGACTGTCTGCTTAAATTCCAAACCAAGCACCGAACAAAGAGAATTTAAAGTACACAGGTGCTCTTGAACCTTCTTTAGGCGATCACTCTGCATGAAAAGTAATAAAGAACAACATGTTATGTTTAAGTTGATTCACATACATACAAGCATACGTACATATATACATACACACACACACACAGAGAACTGAGGCAGAGAGAAGTAGAAGTAAACTAACTAACCTTCTCTTTTTGAAGTGCAAGAAGCTGTCTGTGCAATTCTTCAAGCTTTCTCAACGATAAATCAGTTTCATCCACTATGGCTGTAATACATCCTCTTGGACCAAAAATCTCATGGGAGATACTTTGAATCTGTTCTTGAACATCTATAAATTGATTTCTACGCTCAGATTTCCTGTTCTGCATTTCCTCCAGCTCTGGGCGAATTCTGGCTAGCTCTTCCTTCAAGCTTTCAGCTTTTTGATCAGACTAGAAAAATATGAGAGACAAGAAAGAAGCAGTCCTGTTCTTAGTAGATCAATTTGATACAAATAACCTAGACTGCAAAACTTATGACAATAACAACTAAGAAAGCTATAACGTATGTTATTTTTAAAGTATATGTATGAATCTATGTTTAAAAGTAATAACAGCTACCTTTGGCACATAGTAATCATTGAAAACAGTTTAGATAAAAATCCATGTATAAGAACAAACTTCATTAATACATCTTGCATAATCACATCAACCTATTGTTACACAAATATGACATTGAAAACAGTTTTATTTACTATAAGGTCTTTTCCACTTTATCGAACCAATACACATGCATTCCCTAAAACAGCACCAAGACAATTAGCAATTAATAAAATATCTAACCTGCCTAACATGTACTGGTCGCTCTCCCATTGCTGAACAGATAGCTGCAAGCTCTGCCTCAGAATCAGCAATTTCCTGCCTTAGTTGAGCTCTAGACTGATTTGCTTTATCAACCTTTCTTCTGTATACTTCTAGACACTCTTGTTCAAGCTCAAACAACATCCTATGTTTGTCAGTCTCAGACTCCCCAACTTCATCCCATATTATCTATTTTGAAAAATAAGCCAAGACAATTACCGAATATTATTTAATTGGCCTGTGGAGGGGGGGATTAGGAAAATAATTTGCCGCAAAAGCTAATGTATACCTGAAGTTCATGAAGAAGCGATCCACAAGTTATTTCAGTTTTCATCTTAGGGTCCTTTTGAGGTTTAGACATTTTGGACCACTTGTATCTAACCAAAAAAAAATTCTTAAACCATTTCCCAGAAAAAAAGACCAGAAGAAGTGACTCCAAATTGATAAATCACAGATTAAGAAAGAAACTAACAAATAGTTGCAGCAGATTTAAAATCCATGATTAATCATTCAAAAATAGATCACCATCAAAGAGAAATCTACTTCCAACATAGAATTACCTATCAATAAAATGGTACAAACAAGAAGCATGAATGCAGAATATACAATTAAGTAAAATCCCCTTTGAATGACAGAATGCTCATACTGGGTTGATTTCCCCTTGAAAAAGACTATTGCTACAAGAATCCATAGAAAAGGATTGTGATTGATGTCAAGAGTCCATAGCCAATGCTTTAAAGGATCGTCACTAGTCCCATCTGGTTATGGCTCAACTATATGTTAAATAAAGTGAAGCAATGACTAGTTGCTAAATAATGAATTCCCAAACTTACAGCATCTACTGTTCTCTTTAGTATAAATTACAAATACTTCTGAAACCTAAAACCCACATCATCACCACAAGGATGAAACCAAACCAGCATAACAGATACACTGAAAATGCTACATTACTGCTAGTGCTTTTGAATGGTTTTTCTGATATTTTAATTTTTGACAGAGCACGATTCCATCATTAATCCATGTAACTGAAATGCTAGACAATACCAATAACCTGTAGGACCATTTTTCTTAATCCAAAATCCCCAATAAGGAAAAAAATGAAGACAATCAAACACAATTGATTGAACCTCATGATTCAATCAAAACTCAGCATCACAAATTGCAATGCAGACACGCAACTTTCTGCCATTAATGTGATTATGGAAAATGTTAGGGATGCAATGCAGATGGAAGAAACTTTACCCAAATGCACAATTGAAGAGAAAATAAGGGCAAGGAACAAAAACAATAAACACAAAAAAGAGGAAAACGATAATGTTTCGATGACCTAGGATGTGAATGACACAGAACTACATTGGAAGATGTCAAATTTAGGTTCATGTTTTTTTTTTCCTTTTTTTATTTGGGAGAATTTGTGGAACCTAGAATAGAAACTTTGCTGTTACACTTTCCTCGGGACCCAGAGAAGAAAAGATGATAAATTTACCAATTTAGTAAACGATGTGAGTGAATTGGTGAATTGCTTGATCCTGGGAAGAAAGGGAAATTGATTTTCACAAGATAATGAAAATGCAGTTTTGTGAGCCTTGAAAGATTTGAATTGGGATGAAAGAGAGAAGTATCCGTTTGAGGAAAAAGGACCCACGAAGAGGGCTGCGAATTTTGATTTTGTTTTGTTATTATTTTCTATTCATATTTAACATTTCGGTTTTATCACTGATTATTCATAATTATAAATAAAAATATCATTTGTTACCCCAGAAAAATATTTAACATGTATACGTGGGGAATATAAGTGTTTAGTGCATAAAATTAGAATTGAGATTTAAATTTTTAATTTTAATTTTAATTTTATCAGAATTAGAATTAGTTTAAACTTTAAAATTATAATTTTATGTTTGACGTATTTAAAGAATTAAAATATAAAATTAAATTTTACAATGTAATATAAGATCTAAATATTTTTTAAAATAATTTAATTTTATATTAAAATTTTATTTAATAATTTTTTAAAAATAATGTGTTAATAAAAAATATAAAATAATTATTAAATAAATTGTTAAAGATGATAATTTATTTTTAAAAAAAATATCATTTTATGTTTAATTTATCATTAAAATTTAATATTATGTTATAAACTATATTTCTCATAAATTAGATCAAAACAAATGTATTTTATTTCTCAAAATTAAATAAGTGCTTTCTATAACTCTTAAATTGAGAACATAAGTAAAAATAAGTAGAGACATTGTAATAGATTCTTCTACGCTTAGATAATAAGTATAATGTAGTGCTTCTTTTAAACATTAAAATGTTGCAAAGCTAAAAACAAACTTGTTTAGTAAGATGTAATTAATTATAATAATTTTCTTCAGTTTTATGATATAATTGCCTAAACAGTATACTTTCTACTGTATCTTTATCACACTCTGATGCATTTAATATTAGTTTTTTCTTTTTTGCTTCTCTTGTTCTTAATAGTGCTTGAATTAATTTCTAATATTTTATTTGACATCTAACAATTTAAGAAAAGTATTAAGCAATTTATTATATAATTAACATAAATAATATAGTTTGCAGTAAGTGCAGAATAGCAATGTGATACAGTAACAATAAACATATAACAAATATGAAAAATGAGAAAGAAAAAAGAAGACATAAAAGAAAAATAGTAAGAATAAGAGGAAGAGGAATAGAGAAAAATTACTTTTATTAATAATCAATGTAAAATGAGAAAGAAAAGAATAGAGAAAAAAAACAAAAGAATATAAGAAAAGAAGTGGTATTAATAACTAACGTTAGAATATAATTAAAAGGAGAAAAAAATAGCATTTTTGGTTAGTAATTTATGTTGGATGCTTGAGTAAGTAGCATCCAAAACCAAAAATGTTTCAAGAGAAGTGATCAACTATACTTTTTTTTTAACCTATAACATATTGGTGGAATGAAATATACATGCATGAAAGAGAGAATTGTGGAGAGAATATATGAATTACTAATTACAAAGTTAAATAATTAGATAATTGTTGATAAAATTAAAATATTTATATTTAAATCTTAAAATTGACATTTGTTTGTGAAATAATCTTTATACTTCAAAAAATATATATTTTAATTTTTATATAAATATTTTTTTAATTATAATTTTTATTATTTATATTTTAATTTCTATTGATATAACATTGTTAACGATGAAAACAATCAAAACATAATAAAATATTTATATAAAATACTAAAATATATTTTCTTAAGTATAAAAACTAATTTATAAATATAATAACCAAATGTGTATTTTAATTGATTATAATTTTGAAAGGATTAAGCACACTAAACTTAATTGTTAAATATTTTATATTATAATTCAATTTTATCTTATTGACAATTTATTTTTAATTAATAAAAAATTTACTTAATTTTATATTTTTACACTTTATTTTACCTTTAAAGAATAAATAAAATATTAATATTAACATTTTTATTGTGATTGTTTAATATATATTATTTTTAATTTATATATAATATATTTTTAATATAATATATTAATATCTATAAAATCTTTTAAAAAAATATCTTTTAATATTTACTATTAAATTATATCAATATCTAAAGGATTTTTTTTTTCTTATCTTCCAGTAGTGTGCAATCAAGTTATATATACAAGTTAATATTTATAAATTGCTAAAAGTTAATTATTTAAAAATTATATCTATACTATAATTTGATTGATTTACTGTATAAAAATATTTACATCAAATAATATATTAAAATAGGTTAGAGAAAGGTTTACAAACCTAAATACGAGGGGTTCTAGAGTTTAAGGAAGACCCATGAATCAAGCCTTCATTATGAAACTATGTTGGAGACTAATAGCTTCTCCAAATGACCTATGGGCTCAAGTACTTTATAATAGATACAAATTTTTCCTTAAAAAAAACCTCAATTATGGCAATTCTCAAAATTATTCTCATCTTTGGAGAAGTATGCTCTCTGTTTAGAAGGGCTTTTGACCGACGATATGCATAGGAAGTGGTGATGTTACGTGCAATGTTCTTGAAGGATGGTCTAAGACTTAAGAATTCCACTCCACCAGAGGAAAGCTATGGCGGGAAGTCTATTTTCTCCCCAACTAATTAAATTACCTGAAAAAATTGAAGAACCTAATGGATCACTCATAGGTTCAATTCCTTTTCTTATTGAAGTAGCTGCCCTTTCTATCTCACTTGATGAAGATTTCAAAGCTCTTCCTTTGTCTTTCCTTGGGTGAGCTGACGTTCTTGTTGTCTCACTCAAAGAATCCTCTTGCTTTTTCTTCTTTGTTTGGCTCTTGAGTAGGCCAAGTAAGTAGGCTCTGTTTTCCTATTTTTCTAGGAGGTCTAGAACCTTTTCTGATTTTCTCTTGCTTGATTCGCTTCAATGTTTTTTGGTTCTTGCTCTGTACCTCTATCAATAAAAATAATAAATGTCTAAGTCTTCTATTGATCTATGAGTTGATGTTGATTCCAACCAATTATAATAGATAGAGAGTATCTAAACAAATCTAGGGTAAGGTCGGGATGAGAGTCACAAAGGAGCCACTTTGAAGTAAGATTCTGGATAGGGCTTCCTTACTCAATGAGAAAGCAAGTCTCCCGACTAGACTATCGAATGCGTCAATAGAACCCAGCATGAGACAAAGATAGTATAACACAGCAAAGCAAAGATCACAAACGAAAAGAAAAACTTGTTTCTTTTTGTGACGACATATGGAAAATTTTAATGACATGTGGGCTTAGGTACTTTATAGTAAATACAAATTTTTTTAGAATTTGATTGATAATGGCCTTTTCTCTATTAAATAAGCTTACAACCTTGTATCTTCCTCTGCCCAGCATCAAGAATTGCACATTAGTCTTTTTAAGATGATTTGGAATTGGGAAGGTCCTCCCAAAATTATTTTTTTTTTTATGGAAAATAGTTTATGATCATTTGCTTACTAATATGAAATGTTATAATTGTAAAATGTCTCTAACTTCTGTTTGTTTCAGGTGTCCTAACAGTGATGAATCTGTGATCCATGTGCTTAGAGATTGCTAGTTTGCTTGACAAATTTGGAACAAGCTCATTTTTCCAGATTGTTAGGCTACTTTCTTTAGTAGAGGCCTGACTAGGTGGCATGCTTTAAACTTATCTAATAGTAGTTGATTTCCCTTTTCTAATTGGATACTTCTGCTTGGTATAACTGTCTGAAATTTATAGAATAATAGGAAGAAAGAAGTTTTTTAAAATTTCTTTTTGAACACTGAATCCTTGTTCTATAAAATTAAATTATATTTTGACTACCTTATTTTGTGTGGTAGGTCCAAGCAAAAGATAGGAGTTGGCTGAATGGGGGCTGGAAGGTTCATCAGATGACAGCCTCTTATGTGCCCTCAGCTTAAGCTAGATGTAGATGGTGCTGTATCCCTTGACAATGGATCTGCTAGTTTATGGAGAGCTCATCTATAAGTCTAATACTCTCTCTGGGTACTGTCATCTTAGTTTTTTGAAAGGTTATGTAAGGACAAGCCTCTATTCTCATTACCAAACATACATCCAAAATTAAGTCACACAATACGAGCAAAGGCAATACAACAATCAACCAGGCCACAAAATCATATTTATATACATGCAACAATCATTAATTATTTAGTTTATTACATGTACTCTCTACTAATACTCAGAGTTCTCATTTCATACTTTCATTACTCCTGGGATCCCTTGAGGTCTTCCTTAGTACAGATAGTTGCTGGATAGCCGCAGCTACACAAATACAACTTGTGCTGACCTATCCTCTTTTAGCAAAAGTGTGGTTAGGAGTTTAAGTCAGGAAATGAGTGTGAGGCTTGTGATACTCTTATTCTCAGTTGTTATGCAAAAATCAAGAAGAGTAACCACCACCCTCATTTTTTTGAGATTTCTCAAATCGCCTCCATCTTCCACACTCTCAGTTTATCTTTGAACTATCCACATTTGTCCTTATCATTTCCCTTCTCATTGCATTTTTTCCTTTTCATTTCATTTCTCTTTTCATATTTCTCATTAAAACCCAACTTGGCATTTCTACCTTAATATTTTGTTCATCCTTTTCTCTCTCTCTCTCTTTTATTCAAGTTCATTATCTATATCACATACCAATCAAACATTGCTGGAAGTTGGTCACCCCAGCTCAATCCACAACATATATACGTATAGATATGCTCAAAATAGACATTATCACATCATCAAACACATGAAAACATGTTTCAACCCAACATATATTCATAATCATGCATCACACTAAAAACCTTTTCATGAGTACAAATATAACAAGTTTTTAGTAACAAAATAGAGCTCTCTTTACCATGAAAGGGAAGTTTAGTAAAGGAGTTATGAGGGATCTTGCTCAAAAGGTTGGGTTCTTCCTAAATATCACAAGAAATCCTATTTAGAGGTGAAAATCAAGAAAATAACCAACGAAATAGAGAACCAAGCTTTAAATACTTACCAAAGAGCAAGAAGAGTGAACTTTCAAGCTTGGATCGGAGAAAGATTGGAGTTTTTCAAAGATTTTCTGAGAAAAATGAGGAGAGAGGTTAGAGGAAATGAAGAAGGGTCATAACTTGCAAGTTTCTCAACTTGAAAACCCTTAAATACCTCTTAACTTGCGACATTCTCGCTACAACAAGCTCTTCTCTCGCTACAGTAAAAAAATTAGACATATTTTCTCCATTGTTGTCTGCTATTTTAGTTACAACGAGAGAAACTCTCCTAATTTCAAACAACATGCATTAACAATCATCACAAAATACAAAATTAATAAATAACAAAAATAGGGGTATTACATAAATAATCGTCAATTAGCCTATGCACATGGATACAGTGTATTCAATAACGGACCCTTTAGCAAAGGTATAGTCAGGAGTCTAGTCAGGAAATGAGTATGAGGCCATATGATGCATTCGCTCTCAAAAAAAGTGTGTACACACTCATCACCCTATGTTTTCCCCGGATTCCACATCATCTCCAAACTTTATACCCAGTATATCTTTGTAACTATTTACACTAGTGCATCTCATTACTTGAGCAAGGTCATCCTCGCCTGGGTGAGAAAACCAGACAATGGTTTATCAAACTTTTTACAATATTCTTGCTTGAGCAAGAAGGGGTCTAGAGAGTTTACCATTTTCCTTTAGGAGTCATCCCCTTAGCAACTCATCTTGCTTGGTTGAGATCTCTTCTCGCTTGAGCCAGATCAATTCTTGCCCAAGCGAGAGGGCAGTTGGGCTGAAGTTATCCTATCTTGCTTGAGTGAGACTCATCTCGCTTGAGCGAGAATGATTTGAAATCATGTGGTTCTAGACGCTTAGCAACTAAGGAAGGTTTATTACTGGATTCCACAAAGCTTTAGACTTGTGCTCCCCAGTGGCTGCTGAACTTTGGAGTATTTTTTGGGAATTAAAGCTTGTCATTTCCAAGAATATCCATCATATTTGGATTGAAAGTGACTCAAAGGAGTCTATTTCCCTCATTGTGAAAATGTAGAACTGTAATTACTTTTTATTTTCTTTGATTTGTGATATTAGAGATTTACTAATAGGAATTAATTTATTAGATTTAATCATGTCTTAAGGGAAGTCAATAAGTATGCTGATTATTTGGCTATATTAGGGTTTGATTTTGGGTCCTCTTTTCACTTGTTTTGACGAGGCTCTCGTTTCTTTAAGTTTCTTTAAATCTTCTAAGTACTTATTTTTTTAGATAATTAGTCTAAACTTACTTGTTTCTTTGGACTGTTAAGCCTTATTTATTAAAAAAATATTAAAATATAAATAACTTAATAATTTTTAATCCTAAAAATATTAAATATTAAATTTTAAAAATTAAAAAAAATAATAGGAACATAGAAACTAAAATCAAAACTTTACAAAAAGATAGAACATAAACTTTTAAACTTAAAAAAATTTTACTCCCCTAAAGTTTAATTATTCTTGTAAGTAATTGTCTTCATAAAAAAATTTTGTTAAAATTATTTTGATTCATAAATTTAAAATAATAAAAATAATTCAATTTTTAAATTTTTTGAATAAATAATAATAATTTAATATTTTTAAGATAAAATTAATAAAATATAAATATAATTACTTTTCAAAACTGATGAACTGAACTACAGTTTTATTTAAAAAGAAAACTTCAAAACCAAAATGTCTCATAAACGAAAGTACAAAAAAGTTATATATAATTAATTTGCGTCTTTCTCGTAAATAGTGATTAAAATAAGATTGTATCTATATTTTCAATAGACTTTGTTGCATTGTGTCGTTAACTTTTAAATAATTTGTTAAAAACATTTTTTCACATAGTTTTTATGATAGTTTTTTTTTAATTTTTAATCAACTTTATATATAATTTATGAATCATAATTTTTAAATGTGAATATTTTTAAAATTCATAATATTAAACAGGAACATTTTTTTTAATGTTATTCTTCTTTTTTATCTTTAGTGTTTTAATCCAATCTCAATTTAAATCTATATTTTGAATTTGTTATATTTGTTTTAAAAATAATCTCTTTAATTTAATATAATCAGATATTTATTATTAATAATTAAAATATTTATTTTATTTTGTAATTTTTTAAAAATTTAAATACATTTCTAAAATATTCTTTAAAATTTTAATGAAAGATTATTTTAATTTAATAATAATCATATAATATAAAAATGTACTAATAACTTAAACAATGACATGCTTAATTAAAAGGTTATTATGTGCTAAAATTCTGAACATTAGTAATTAGTTAGAAGCACAAAAAAATTATAAATTAAAAATAACCAATCAAGAAAGCATTCATGTAAAAGAAGAAAAATAAAATATTAAATAATAAAAAATAAAGTTTAAAAATCATAAAATACAAATTCGTTTTTTACTCAAATACTTTCACAAAAAATTTAAGAAATCCTATAAGTGCTGAGTTAAAAAAAAATTAAAAAAATACAAGAATATAAAAGAAAAAGAAATGAAGAGACATAAAAGACTTACAATAACTTAAAAACATATTCAAACTAAAGTTTAACGATATTAACTTTGAAAGACTTAATTATAACTTTTTTTAAAAATAATATTGAAGTATAAAATTTCAATTCAAATTTGAATAATATTTAAAAGCTATAAATTAATTTAACTTTAAGTTATCAAAGTAATCAAACAGTTAAAAAATGTCACAACCAATTATCACTACTTGGTGTAAATCAATATAATTCAAAACAGTTTCACAGCCTTCAATTTTCATCTATTTTGGATCACATCAAATATCCTCTTCCCTCAGTTGAAGATGAAAGCTTGCAATTGCATTCTACCCATTATTTACCCAACAAACCCAACCCCCATAACCTCACTCTCAGCTTCTCTTTTCACTCCAATGGCTTCCATTCCCACTATCTCTTCTTCTCTGCACACAATATCTCCTCACTCTTCATCCCATTCAAACCCATCTCTCACATCTCTCTTCGGAACCAGAATCACCCTCCAACGCGCCACGTCATCAACCCTTTTCCTCCTCAACAAGAATTGTCGTGCGACATCAGCAACTGTGTCGTTTAGCCTCCCAACCCCGTAAGTCTCTATCTTTGCCCCTTAAACGCAAATGGGTCTCTCGAATTTTCACCTGGGTCGTCTCAAATGCCTTAAAGTTTCCACCTTTTTCCCGTTTTTGCAGGAAACCCCTTTCGGATACGCCCGAGAAAACCCCAAAGTGAGTTCATTGTTATTGTCGTTTATCGGTGACACAATTGGGTTGTGTTTGTTTGAGGGTTTGTGTTTCATTCAGGTGGTCGGCGAGGGCTATAAAGTCTTATGCAATGGCGGAATTGGAAGCGAGGAAGCTCAAGTATCCCAACACAGGAACTGAGGCACTTCTCATGGGGATTTTGGTAGAAGGTTTGTTACTATTTGGAAAACTAGAACTACATTTCTAATATATGAGTGAAAATTTTTAAATTAGAAGTACGATTTTAGTGATTTTGTGATTTGCAATAAATTTTAGCTAGTACTGATGAAGAATGTGTTAAAGAGTGTGTTGTTAGCATTTGTCTCTCTGCTATTGGTATCTTTTGAATTTTAGTAATAGCGTGCTCCATGCATATTTTTGTCGTGAAACTTCAAACTAGTGCTTCTGCCTTCTACTCTTGAACTTGTGTAACTGTGTTGCATGGATATGGGAATAAATTTTAACAGTTATTGGGGGATTGTGTCATGTAGAAATATACAAGCATATATAACTTAGTATTAGAATTATAATGTAAGTACAATTTTCATGAAGTTCTAACACATGGAAGCAAAATTATTTTTAAAAGGGTATATGTTTTGATGGGACTGAGGTAGTAGTTTGTTTCATTTAGAAATTAAGCCAAACAACTTGGCAACAAACTTTGGTGTCGTTTGTGCTGGAGTGATAAGTGAGTATTGGGCGTGTTAACCTTTTGTACCTAAGAAGTAGGGTACTGAATTCATACAAGTGTGGGAATGGCAGTATAAGCAATGTGGCAGTGTTTAAATGGATGGAAAAGCAGTAGCTAAGGTTGATGGCTGTTGCTGGCAATTATTTTCATATTTTAATCGGACATGCTATAACTTATTTAAGGTTACATTCACATCCCATTGGATACTAAATGCTTTTTCTTTCAAAGTATTAAGCAGCACTCCTAATATGTGGATTGGAATCATGGGTTTAACTTTAAGCAGAAATGTTCAATTGTAACTAGAATAGTTCTATTTCAGACCTATTATTTAGTTTTTTAAGATAATTTGATTGCCATACTTTATACCCTTCCAATTTACTAATTGGATTCATGCTCCTTGTTGCATTTATATAGACTAGGTCAATCATTTTATTTAAAGTTATGAGGGTCCTGTGGAAGCTTGAATATCACTTTGGCTATGTTATATGGTGCACTGGATAGTGGATATCCTTGCAATTGCCCCAAAACTTGGGAAATATTTCATTATTCTCAATTTCAAATTATTGCTTGATCAGAAAAAGAGAGATAAAAGGGGTTATCTTCTGTTTCATCCTTCCTAATGAGTTATGTTCAACAACATATAAGTGTAAATTCATCAAAGAAGTACATTTACTTGTAGCTTTTCCCTTGACTATGCGAGGAATTGTATTCATGCTCTATTCTCATTGAGAGAAAGTGGGTACTGTGCACATGGCCATGGTTGGTTCCTTTGCCACTAAATTTAGTTGCAAGCCAAATGTGCTATTCAAAATGTGGCACTAGTCTATTCTTCTTCATATCTTCTAGTTGAAATAATGTCCCCTTTAAATCATGTTAGCAAAATTCTGCCCTTTGGATTTCTAAAGGCAGTTGTGCCGTTTCTATATCCTTGAGCACTTGATCAATTTAAATATTGTTCTGGCTTTGTGCCTTCTGTAAACCTTTTAAGGCTTAAGTCTTTGTTGTCCTTTCAGGAACAAGTAGGGCTGCAAAATTCTTAAGAGCTAATGGAATTACTCTTTTCAAAGTACGTGAAGAAATAGTAGAACTACTTGGAAAGTCTGACTTATATTATTTCAGCCCTGAGCACCCTCCATTGACTGAACCAGCCCAGAAAGCCCTTGATTGGGCAATTGAGGAGAAATTGAAGTCAGGTATGCATGGTTTCCGCTATACAAGTATCAACTAGTAGCCCCTTGCAAAAGAAGAAAATTCAGTTGACTTGCTAGATTTATTGTTCACTTTGGGATGTTCCGTTTTCAAATATTATTCCATTTTGGGAGTTACTTGATGCATGAAATGAAATCTATTGGTGTGTTTGCAAGAGCAAGTAGAAAGAAACTTTCAGTTGTCTTGTGCCTCTTTTCAGTCTTTTGTCAGAAACCTGCTGAAGTATGAAAAATGTTTTTAATGACATTCTTTTCCCTCTTACTTAAGAAAGACTGGAAATTTGGTAATATGAAAATCTCATCTAATGCAGTCAACTTCAATAGTTTTATAACTTCAAAATCCCAAAACCCAGGAATGCATTGCCCAACAGTTTTAATTTAAAAGTAACTTTTAAGTAAAATAATAAATATAAAATTATCAAACAAGTAAACAACAATAATTTCAAAACTCTTATTCAGAATCTCAACTTTAAAATAGCCTTTAAGATCCCATAAAGTCAGTTCAAATGCTACCTTAGTTATGGAAAATTATTTGCATGGTTCGGACTGTGTGGTTCTAACCAATCACATTATGCCATGTGTATAAATTTTTTACAATTTATAAAAAAATTGATACGTGTCATGATGTGAGTAGCTATAGTCTATAGACCACTCAAAAATTTCTAAGTTATGGCTCAGTTAGTTAACCTGCTCTCTGCGCAATGTTGAGATGTTTTATTTGTACAATGTTGATCTTTATCTTGCTTCCTAATATTATCTTTTAAGTTTTGACGTTTTCTCATGTATTTATTAAAATTATGATGAAAAATGTAGGTGAAGGAGGAGAAATAAACGTGACATATATACTTCTAGGAATTTGGTCACAAAAAGAATCTGCAGGTCAACTGATATTGGCTGCTTTAGGTTTCAATGATGAAAAGGCCAAAGAACTTGCTAACATAGTAAGTCTCAAATTTTGATGCTTTGGGCGATTGACTCCTTAGTGTAACCTGTTGAATGTATAAATATGCTTTATGTTTCTTGCAGATTGATGGAGATGTTGATTTGAGTTTCAAAAGGCAAGCATAAGAAATTTCTTTCAGTAGTGGTTGATTGATACCTGTTGACCCTTGGCATTGCAAGTTCGTCTGGGGAAAAAATTAACTATACTCCCTCAAGTTTATCAACAAGTGCCTGCATTAATGTGCTTTAGATTTCAATGTCAAATATTGTTGTACACCAATTGGAGATGATGAATTTTGCATTTTTAAAAAAAATTTATACAAGTTTTGTGGAAGCCAAATTTTTAAGCAGGGTGTGATGGTAAAATTGGTAATCCCACTCTGCTTCATCTTCCCCTTGTAACTTTATCATCCCTTTTGAACTTGAGTTGTATCAGTACCATTTTCCTAAAAGTTGGAACTTTTATTTATTATGAAATTAATTGTAATGGACCCTCAAAAAATTTTATGATCTGTGAAGGAAATGATTGATTTGTTTCATGTATTACGCCACTTGTGTAATTTGGTTTCAAATTTGCTAAATTGGGGTCAATTTTAAAATTTTTCCCAAAGTTGTAGTGACATTTGGAATTGGCGAAATACAAGAGGGAAGTCGAATGTAGAAGGCAGATAACTAAATATTTAAATGAGTTGTAATTCTTTTATAATATTCAAATTATACTAGTCATGCAAAAGCCCCAGCTTTCTTAGTAATACATACCAGGGCCTTTTTACTAAAATAATATAAAATTTAAAATAGCTTATAAATATGTTTTTTTGTCAAAGGGTTATAGGGTGAGAAGCTCAGGAACAAAATAATATGCATTCAAAATTATTTTCTAAAATAAGATAGCTTAAGACACATGAAAAAGGCATAAGATTTGAACATAACATGCAAAATGATAAGTTGTATGATGTCATGTGACACATTGTCGTAGTATTTTTTTTGTATTGTAGTGTGATTAATTTTGTTCCATTATTTCTAACTTGCTTAAATATTTATTATTTTTAGTATTTTATGATAAATTTAACGGCATTTATCTCTAAATAATTAAAGTGATAGGCTGTCTCTTAAAACTAAAGAAAAAATATTTCAATGTAAAAATTTAATTTGATAAGAGATTAATTAATTTATCGTTTTCTTCTTTCTTATTTCAATTTATACAAATATAAAAAAGTTGTATTCTATTTTTTATTTTCTTATTTATTTTTTCTTTATTTCATCTCACATTCAAACAGAGCCAATGAATACTTTAAGCTTAAAGAACATTATACACATTTCAGCCCTACTCTTAATTTGATAAAACAATGATACATTTTTGTTACATTTTTTATTCTGAAATTGTCTTTAATAAAATATTGATATTTAAAAAAAATATTTTTGTTATCTTCAAATAAAATAATATTCCATCTTTTATATCAGATCAATATATTCTATATTATTATTGTAAAAATACTCACTATCACTTTAGCTTTAAGCATTTATTGTATTTGGTTGAAGGCAAAATAAATAGGAAGATATTTTTTTTTTTTTTTTTTTTTGTGGATCTACCAAAAACATTCCTCCATATTTTGGGGAAAGAAACAATTATGGAGGGAAGAAGTGAGCACACGACTCCATGGACTGTTTTAAAATTAAAATAATATAAAAATTATAAATAAATTTTATTAAAAAACTAATTAATATACAATTATTTTTTATAAATATTTTTAATATAATTTAATTATTTATTTTCATTCTCTTTTTTATTTATCAAAATAAGTGAAATAATTATTTTATCATTTACTTCCCTCTTATTTCATTGCTCTCCATTTCACATTGAATCCAAACAAACCGTTAATAAAAAAAGTTTTATAGCTTGTTCCCTATTTTTAAGTAAATTGTTGGATGGATCACCACTCAACGCTTGGTATTAATTTTTTTTTATTGTAAATAAGAAATTTTATACATGTGACATAACATAATTGTTCAAGACTCTGTAATTTTCCTACCATCCAAAATTTTTTCCTTATTTTCTTGTGAAAGTGACCAACCAACGCTTGCAACACTGTTTAGTGACAATTTTGACCCAACTTTTAACCTCAATAACATAGCACACGCGACACCATGAGAAGCATGACCCAATAGGTTTTCATTCCTTGATTCTTGTTTTCAAACGCTTTTTCTAGTAGAATTCTACTGTGAAACACATTTGAATGAAATAATTGTGTTAAAACTCTTGTGAATTTTGACCACTACCTAGAGACATCAAAGAAGTATGAGAAACAAGAAAGGCACCTTGATCTTTCCCTGTTTCATTCATTTAAAAGAATCATGAGTTGCAAATAATTAGAGGTCCTATGCTCATCCTTTGTTATATACCTCACAATTTTATGGCTCTATCAATTTCATTTATTTTTATTTGATTTTTTTTTTTCAAAATTGTATTGAAACAACCAATTGTACACTTGTGATGGGTTCTACACGCATACTTGTTAAAGATGTAATACAACCATCACTGCTGAGAGTGACACTAACAAACACATGAACTGGAAAATTTTAAGGACAAACCGAAATTAAAACTCATAGGCAGTACCTCACTCCCGCCAAACACAAAACGAAAACCCTAATCGAGTGTTAAAGGTCGAAGAGAGTGAGGGAGAGAAAGAGAAGCCTCTGCTTCAATCTCGTCTCAACCTCGAACCCCGCGTGGGCGTGTCTCCACAATGAGTTTCGCGGCATATAAGATGATGCATTGCCCCACCGGCATCGACAATTGTGCCACCGGCTTCCTCACCCATTCCCGCGCCGATTTCGTTCCTCTTCAGCCCGAAGACCTCGACTCTGAATGGCCCTCTCGTCCCCGCCACACCGGTCCCCTCCCCAACCTCGTCGTCACCGCCGCCAACGTTCTCGAACTTTACATCGTTCGCCTCCAAGAGGAACAGCCTCCTAAGCCCGCTGATTCGCGCCGCGCTGCTCTCCTCGACGGTATTGCCGGCGCGTCGCTCGAGCTTGTTTGCCATTACAGGTTCCAGCTCTGTTCCAATTGCATTTGAATTCTCGATTTTTAGTTGGTTTAGCTTGTTTGAAGAAATAAGTGAAATTATGAGTCGTGATCAATTTAGTCTTTGAAATTGTATGTCTCAATTTAGTTCTTGAGATTATTAAAATGACATTCGTTTTAGTCCCTGAAGTCATGAAGCGACAGTCATTTTGGTTTCTGAAATTATGATAATAACTAATAAGGGCTGAATTGATAACTTTAGTGAATAAAGTGACGTTTTTGTAATTTTAGGGATTAAGTTAACTAAGAGTTGTAGTTTCAGGGATATATATATCTATAGAGAAGGCTCAGATTGAGTGTAAGAGTTTTTAAACTTGTAAGAAGATCCTATATTTATATATATATATATATATATATATATATATATATATTGTGGTAGCTTCCGGACTCTTAAAGGAAAAGCTTTTATCTCCTTGGAAATAATCTCAACCAAACATGTTGTGGGAATGTGAAGTTGGGAAGCAGTTTTGAGTTTTTGAGCAATTAATTGATGATGGCATTATGCATTGTGGATTGAGTTGTGTGGGTTTGCTGGAATTTACAAAGTAAAGTCAAGACTGAGGGTTTTGTTTCTTGATATTTTTTACTTCTCAGTTGCAGTTGATGGGTACATTATGGATTTGGTTGTGGTAATTTTGTTGGTTTTAGTGAAGACTGAGGGTTTTGTTTCTTGATATTTTTTATTTCTCACTTGCAATTGATGGGTATGTTATGGATTTGGTTGTGGTAATTTTGTTGGTTATAGTTGTTTGTGATTAGATGATGATGCTGGGATATAGATTATAATATTTTGAGCTTCTTCAATCTGTTCAATTTATGGCTTGACTTGAGTTGGACATGAATTTGGATTGTGAAGCTCATATTTTTTTCATTTATTTTATTTTTCAGTTAAGAAGTATATGTTCATTAATCTGTTGAATTTAGTGTTTGATTTAGGCATCTACCTCATGCTTGATGCTTTTATACACATGATTCAGGTTGCATGGTAATGTTGAAACCATGGCTGTGTTGAGCATTGGAGGTGGTGATGGTTCTAGGAAAAGAGATTCTATCATCTTAACTTTTGCAGATGCAAAGATTTCAGTTCTCGAGTACGATGATTCTATTCACGGACTTCGTACTAGGTGAGTAGATATGTTTAAATTAGCATTTGTAAAAATATGCTTTTGTTCTGTTAATTGGTTAATCCTAATAGTGCCATATTTGGGTCTGCACTTCTGTGAACTGAAATTTAGCAGGATCATTAATGTAAAAATATACCTTCAAATTTGCTTTAGAATCTGATTAAGAATGGTTTTATCAAATGCTTTGTTATATTCTTTCTCTACACATCATTTGGTTGATATTGAAACAGTTGGTTGAATTGCAGAGAGATTGTATTTGAAATGTTGTGGGCACATTCTAATTCACCTTAGTAGGACGGCAGATGATGTGTATTTCCTTAACAAAATGTTATATTGGAAAGTTGTAATATTGAAACCTTTTGACGTAGTCTGTTTAGGGAAATGACTTTGGTTATGAAGGTAGTGAAGTTAAAATGCAGTAAAGTAGATAATTGTGTCTTCTAATGATTGATTTTACAGGGTATTTGATAGGAACTGAGATTATATTGAAATAACAGAACCAACACAGGGAAATTCCCTGAGATTACAAGCAGTAAAGATGGAAAAACAGAATAATGGAACAGAATACAGCAATCTAATGAGCTAGTAATTAGCAAGAGCAATCCTCCTATAGCCTCAGCTATCCCTAATGACCTCCCAGATATTTTCTGCCTTATGCCTCTGGTGATTCACCCTATATTCCCCTCCGCTCTTCCCTCACTCATCCACGTCATTTAGTTTATTATTCCGTTAGAATCTTCCCTAATAGTCCCAGCCTCTCTGTCTATTTTATCGCTCTTTCTCTAGTATGTTTTTAGTGAAGGTCCATTTAGCTTGGGCCCAACAGTATTATTAATTTTTTTTTTGACACTTATTTTGTTGTGAGATTGGAGGATTTATAGTGTTGAAATTGTCTTTAATCAATGCTTGTTCTCTCCTATTTTTGTTCTTTGTCTGGTAGATCTTTTATCCTTATTTGTAGTTCTCTTCTCAAATCTTTTCTTTAATAGATTTCTTTTATTTATTAGAGGAAATATGACAAGGGTAGAGGTAAGGTGGCTATATCAATTGGATGACATTAGAGTCATTTCATTGTTAATCACACACCCACACAGGGAGCATATTAAGTGTGAACTGTTCTCATTAGATTAGCTAATCTTTGACCATGCAACCATACATGGATTGTCAAGATTAAAATTGAACAAAATCCATCTTGGCCATCCATGTATAGTTGTATCTTGTATGGTCAAGAATTGTTATTCTCATAACAGTAAGTAAGAACAGTTTTCACTTGCTATGCCTGAATGTGTGTGTGTATCACATAATTCTGGAATTATGAAGTTAACTA